GTGGGTCGTGTCAAGGGACAGGTATAATGTTTATATTCGAGCACAAATTTACTGTCAAAAGAGAGTTTTATTTCTTTACGCTGTTAAAAAAAATGTGATAGATACTCCATATGAATTCAGTTGATAATACCTGACGAATCGTCGTCTTATGGCAATTATTGTATGAAGTTGTAAATGTGTATCATTCGGTGAGATTTTGAACTGTCGTCATGGCGATATACACGATCAGTAGTAATTACTTAGTTCAGCTTTGCCTAGAAGTCGCCACATTGAAATTACGCGGTACTGCTGAATATATTCAAGGTCTACCCGTGCTATCGCATCCAGTGCCTTCTGGTTATTGAGAATCTGGTTGTCACCTTAGCATGTACTACAGATTTTTCAAATTCATTTTATAAATGTTCATCAAATATTTGAAGAGTCATACACACATATTGACATATTTAAATTTAATTGCCTTCTTCGTAATCGAGCTTGAGCCTGAAAACCGAGCCATTTTAATATACCTACTACCCGTTTGAATATTATGTTTTACTTTTAATAATCCCGCCTGTATCTATGTTTTGTCAGTGAAATATGTATTATGGTCTAAATTAGCTTTTTTTCTCATATTGCTTTCTTCACAAAAGAGCCCCTTAAGCTTTGTAATTGGATCATCACGATAAAAGATATCGCAATGTCTCAATCGATGACGTCTCTGGTACCTAAAATTCGTAACTAGAGTAATATCTTGATATCGACAGAAAAATGCTGCCTTTGAAATGTAAAGATTTTGTTTTAATATTTACTAGCTTTTTCTTGCTTCGCTTCGCTCAACTTAAACTTGTTTTTATTCGCTCTTGAACAGAGCATTTAGTCAAACTTATACCCTACAAAAATCCTAGGTATAGACAAGATTTAATCTGACGACCCTCACATAAGTTCGCCATTTTAACTATAGATACTGATATAAACGATAACAATATCAGTATCATAAATAAAAAAACCTTTTATCAGGTACTAGCTTTTGTCTGCGGTTACGCCCGCATTTATGTCGCTTATAACTGTAAAAATGCCTATGTTACTCGCTGATAATGTAGCTTTCCATTGGTGAAAGAATTTTTAAAATCGGTTTAGTATTTTAGCGTAAAAGCGTAACAAACAAACAAACTCACTTTCACATTTATAACAAGAATAAAGTAGTGTTTTATCGTATTATTATTCTGTTAAATATACGGCTGGATAGGCAACGCTTTAAACTGTGGCTTCGCCTTTTCGCGTCACTTAACTAGCTTCCGACCTACATTGTGTTGACCTTTTGATACGCACTGCACTTAATTAAAGTGCGTTGGTTTTACACAAACGAAATCAGGGTGCGAAAGTAAGAGGTATTTATGTTTATGTATATTTACGGGGAATATTGCAGGGTTATTACTTTAAAAGCTAATATCGTCTTTTGTACAATTAATACTCTATAATATTCACAACATTCTCATAGTGATTAAATCATAAATATTTTAATGTTTGTAATGTTAGGCGTTGAAAGATACTAGGATACTATATACTACAAAATACCTACTCCAATTATTGTTTTTATTTTCAGCGATATGTCTGGCATATCTGTGTCGGATTCAGTGTTAGATATGACGCAGTATTGTTACCAATCGACAAGTATTCAATTATTTGTCTAGTTTAATAGAGACACTACTGCTACTAACCCAAAGACCCCTTTGGTTGGACATTAGATAAGATAAATCCTTTAAAAAAAAAGTTGAACCGCCGTCAAACAATATCAACAAAGAGCACTAAAAACCTAGCAGCAATTGCGGTTGATTTGCTGTCATTTTTTAAGAGTTTCGTTGTCTGTCTTCGGAATTCATCAATGTATATGAAATTTAAAGGTGACCATTTCGGCATTAACCTCATTCAAACAATTTTTTTTTTTAATCCGTCTATATATGACGAAGTTATGCCCGAACATACATTAAAAAAAACATCCAAATTGATAACCTCCTCTTTTTTGACGTCGGTTAAAAAGGTATCTGTAAAACTGTAAGATCCTCTTTCCCACGACCAAGTCCGCCTTCTTGTCAATACAATCTATTAATTACAGCAAATAAGATAAATTGTGTACTCAGAATATATTAACACCACAGTAGATCGTTTATTACACACTCTCTAGCTATGCTAATTTGTCTCGCCCTCTCTTGAGGGGCGAGACAAATTAGACATATAAAGGAAATTAATTAATATATATATATTAATAAAGGAGAATTAATTAAAACGAACTTAACCTAATTTGATTAATACATATAAAGGAAATTTATTACTAGTAAACCAAGAACGTTTGTGTAAGTAGCTAACAAAAAAGATGAGAAAATTATCTTATCCGACTAATAACGGTTCAAAGAGATACATTCTATGAGTGGCAAAATTAAAAAAAAAGTTGTCATAAATAGTTCAGAAACAATAGGTTTATTTTATAATATATTATGAAAATACACCTAGTTATACGAGTATGCTTTTGGTCATAGACTAAAAGCTAAAACTATCCGTAACTAAGTTATAAGGGGTCAAATATGCCCTGAATAGCTTTGAGAAAATTATGGTACGGCCGTGGATTTCTTCCAAACTCCAGTTTTGGCACTGCCATCCTTTAGTTTAAAAAATAGCTTAATATCCATAAGTCATCTTAATCTTAATAACGTTTTCGAATATTCTACGTTTTATAATCATGTTACCTTTTATAGCTTTATGCGGCTTTGCTTGTGCGTTTTGTCTTCGTTGTCTTAACTTGAAACAAAATAATATTTGATTTAAATTATTCAAATAGTTTAAACGGTTTTGAAGGGAACCACATAGATATAGCGTTTTAACCACAAAACTATAACCTACATTTAAACTGGCTACTTACAAACATGGAAATTGCATACTACGTTTGTGACAACTTCCATACAAAAACATACTTCATTTGCATTTAACGAAGACACGCCGAACTACGGAGCAACTACTAATCCTGCATTGCAGAATGAAAATTCTCACTCGTATGTATACAACTTCCTAACATCATACGGTTGACCGCGGTCCGCCAGGAATTTCATGTTCGGAGTCACTGAAAATATTACAGAAGGCTTACGGTGAATCGAATTTATCAAAAACACGTGCTTATGAGTGGTACAAAGCGTTCAAAAACGGTCGAAATGTGATGGAAGATTTACCTCGCTCTGGTAGGCCATCAACGTCTGCAACTGAAGTTAACAGCGCAAAAGGGAAGGAAATAGTGACTGAAAATCCTCATTCAACTTTGAGAGAGATAGCAGCCGAACTTTCTGTAGCTTACAAGTCGATTGTTCGAAGTTGTTACCGCTCAGCTAGTCTCAAAAGACCTGAATTTTCTCCAAAAACTCAATCGCATGAGAGTTGCTGAGGATATTCTAGAACAAGTTAATTCCGACCCAACATTCATGAAACGCATTGTTACTGTTGACGAGACGTAGGTTTACGAGTTTGACATGCAAACTAGTCAACAAGCTACGGAGCTTTTTACGGAGCATTTTAAGCTACCGAAACCGAAAAAACCACGCCAAAGTCAATCAAAACTCAAAGTCATGTTGACTGTTTTCTTTGACTATCGCGGTGTTGTGCACTCGGAATTCTTACCGGAAGGTCAAATGGTAAATAAAGAATATTATTCGAGCGTTATGCGGCATTTAAGAGAGCAAATTCGACGAAAAAGCTCAGATTTGTGGTGAGAAAATAAGAAAATTTTGCACCACGATAATGCGCCTTCGCACAAGGCCATCATTGTGAACGAATTTTTGACCAAACGCAACAAACACCATCAAGCAACCATCATATTCACCAGAGATGGCTCCAGCCGACTTCTTTCTTTTTCCTAAACTCAAATTACAACTTCGTGGCACCCGTTTTCAATCGGTAGAAGACACAAAGGAGAATTCGTGGCGAGAACTGAACTCAATTCCGGATACAGCGTTTAAAAATGTATTGATGATTGGATTATTCATTGGCGTAAGTGTATCGTTTCTGAAGGGGCACACTTTGAAGGTGATAAAATAAATTTGGATGAATAACAAACAATTTGAGTATTATTGATCTTTTCCCGGTACTTTCTTGACAGAGTAGTACCTTAAAGTAACTGTGTATTTGTGTTCAATATGTAAAGTTCAAATCTATGCAAATGGGTGATTCTTAAATAGTTTTCATATAGCTCAAAAATATTAAAGTTTTTTTCGACATATTGGTATCTATATTAAAAGTACCAAAAGCGTATATAACAAGCTTAATGTAATCAGGAAAAATAAAAAAATTAGTACATTAATACGGCTCTGACTGTCATTCTTCTTGCGCAGCATTTACCACAACAAAAAGCCACTCAGTTATTCAAATGCAACAGAATGTTATGACAACGCACATTATCTATGTCACCACGGTACTGAAAAAGTCCGTGGTTTTGACATTTTTTGCATACCATGACCGTGACAATTTCACACTTGCTTGACATAACATAAAAACTTGCCATGATTTCGCAAATCCTAAGTAATTATCTTAAACCACACCATATGAGGTACATATTATGTTTCCAACAATGACTGGTACTAAAGTTCAAAACACTACACGGCGTTGACGTTGTTGGTGTCCCTTTTGTAATAAATGAAAATATTTTTGTGAGAGTTTTTTTGCATATCGTGTTAACAATTTTATGACAAAATTTATATTCGGATATGATACTAGAACTCATTTGCAAAGTTAATAAACATACAGTTTACCGATTTTGCAAAAGAATATATAAAATTCTTACAACTTACACAATTAAATATAAGAATAAGAACCATCTAAATAATACTGCACGAGTGGTTGTTTTTTTATCAACAAATTTTAAGTTTATTTTAACCAATAGTGATTTTGTGTCCTCATGTTTCTAACGTCACCATTGAACGGCTTAATATATTTGATTTAAAATATTAATCCTAATAAAGACAATGTATTTGCTTTGTGTTCAGGTCAGAAGACTCGGTCTCGGTGGAGGAGGGCAGCCAAATTTTGACTTAACAGATCCTTACTGCAACAACGTGTCCTACGATTACGTACCTATGCATGATCCACATCTTGCTCATCATTTTGCCCAGAAGCCTGCTAGAAAGAGAATGCAGTCTCTCGGCTTTTGCACTAAGGATGGAAGAGCAGTCTGCTCGTTAAAAGAATTCAACCAGTATCGAAAATATTTGTACAACCAATTTATGGATAAAATTCATGTGACTATGTTTCAATTGGTACGTTCGTGTTGTTATTTTATTCATAATTTACAATTGTATCTCAAACACCTTACTTCTGCTTATAAAACTAGAAGATAAAATAAATGTGTGAATATCACTGCAAGCCAAATTACTTAAATTTATTATATTCGCATTTACACAGGATGAACGAGCAAAAGACGACTTGACACTAAAACGCGTTGATATGGACGTAGCCAGAAGATTACAAGTTTTTACTAAGGCGGAGAGAGCTAGAGAACATCTAGAAAGAATAGCTAAAGAACATGCTGAAGAGTTTGCTGCAAAAAAACGAGCGTATGTATATAACAATACAACAATTTTTATTTATTTTATGTAAAATCGACACGACGGCGACGTCAGTCTGTTACTTTTATGTACAATATAAAACATACAATAATACAACTAAATCGCTTGTTTGAGAGAATAGCTATTTGAAGCTGCTTACGGGCTTTATTGCTTAGGAAAGCGATTATTGCTTACATCTAATAGAACATTTTAATTTTTTACTCTACCATGGCGTCTAAAGATGCAATAAACTCATTAAGATAACTATTAAAAATAAAAACCAGTGTATTGGTTAGAACTGATGTTGGAACAAAGTTTTACAATAGTTGAACACATTAGAACAGTAATTGAAAAGCATCTTATTAAAAGAATAGAGGGTTTCAGTCTCAAAAAATGATTCGATTGAGTTCAAAGTTACATTATGATTCGTTTTAGAGACAACACTATAGATCAACCAATCTCAAAAGTTTACTCAACTTTATATACCAGGGGTGACCTAAAAATAAACCCTTAAATTATTAAATTACCATTACCACCAAATTAAAAAAAACCATTAAATTAAATTAAATCTTCCCATGGGTAATCTTTTTTTAGCGCACTGATTAGGTGCTGTACTCGGTTGTCGTACAGGCAACACTTTCCATCATAGGTAAGCATTCGATTCAGTATTCCCTCGTTTCTATGCCGGTTCAGTAGTACTATGCATGCTTCGACGCGTAAGTCTCGCTGATGGTCGCTTAGTTCGTTTGACATCAACTTATCTAGTTTTTTTATCTTTCCGATTTTACGCAAGTGCTTCAGTGTTGTTTTGACTCCAAAGCTCGCAGCAGTCTCAGCCGTAGATTGAGTTGGAAACGCTTCAACTAGCGCCTTTAATTCGTCGTTGTCGACTATAGTTACGGGCCGACCGAGAGCCTCGTTCTTCAACTCAAATTTCCAAACGAGTTAACCAACAAAGGACCGTGTCTATGCAAGCAGTGTTAGGCCCGTACACGTCGTTAATGTTTCGCGTTGTTGGGGCAGCGGTATTTCCACGTAGGAACACATATTCCAAAATTTTACGAATTTTCAATTTATCCACATCCATATCACAAAACACTATCTAAAACAAATGACTAAATTTTAAATTGAAATAACATGCCTGTTGAATAAAATTTAATGGAATTTCGAATTACGCGCTAATCCCCAGATAATTAAATCTGAAAAATAATGCTGGCTTTAAAAATCTCTAACTTCTTAGATAAAGAGAAATGTTATAAATGTAATAAAGAGAATAATAGTAATATGTTTTTATAATTATGATAAGGATGTTCCATAACAGCCACATTAGTTACTGGCTAATAACGTTCACCTCTAGGAAGGAGACAAATTGATGTGTGTGTATGTGTGTGTGTGTGTGTGTGTGTGTGTGCGTGCGGGTGTGCGGGTGTGTGGGTGTGGGTGTGTAGGTGTGTGGGTGTATCGCAAGTCGCAGAACTTTCTCACCATTTAGTTAGATTCTCCAACTCACCCTATCGTTCTTCTATCTTATTTAAGTTAAAATTTAGCTCTACAAAAACAATACATTTAAATAAGTTGGTCTAGTTTTTAATTTTAAAAATACGATTTCGAGTATTATTTAGCGATTTTATACATAAAATACACCATTATTATGCTCCACATGAATCCACTCCTTAACTAAAGAAATAAGTAAAGAATATTTTTCCCTTTACTTAATGAGAGTTGGTTTAGTCGTGGGGCCTTTAAAGGCACCAAAGGCTACGTGAGGCAAGCTTCGCTGATTAATGGTGACATTTTCTTTTCATTTAGTTCAGTGTTTACGTAAGACCGGAAAACATATTTCTTCTGTAATTATTAATACCTATTGACTTTCTTTAGAAGTTGGTCTAACATCTGTTATTTCAATATCCTACAGTAAATTTCGAGACAACTTTTAATTAGGTATATTGTACTGCCATTTTTACTTCAGATAATACGTATTAGAAGTCAAATTAAAACAAATGTAGCTTCCAAGATAATAAAGTTTCGACCCACGGTTTCCATACCGAAACTCGACAACATCTGTCTTTTTCTAACGTGTCTTTAAAACCAATTTCCTGAGCCGATTGTACTTATTTATCAATAACTTTTTTTGCTGAAGGGAGGTAAATCCGACAGCTACACAGATAGAAACTATTGCGCCCAGTCCTCGTCACCCGCCAGCATAGTGGTAATGATTGCTGGGATGGATATATCTTGTCGTATTTGATCGACCAGGACCTCGCGTTCGTCTGAACGTCGACGTCGAACGTCGCGTTCGTCTACCTCGCGTGGGTGTCTACCCACGCGAGGTAGACGTATGCTGGACAGAGTCCCAGAGGGCTGAGCACTGCTGACTTGCCGTTACTTAATTTCGATGTATCTAAATAAAAAAAAACGGGAGTGGATAACATTAAAGCGGTAATTCACCCAATTCGGTCCAGTAAAAAACATCTGTGCATACGTGTTATTTAATTTAATATTAGAACTACTAGATTTTCACGGAATCAATAGACTAAATACAATATATTACTGCTGTTTATTACTTAAAGAGAAATTAATATCTCTTAAAATACACAAAGTTAACCGTAGTTAATTAGCACAGAGGAAATGTAGTAGCAACGCGTTGGCAGCGATGCTGAGCACTCGGTCTGAATGTAATCACAGCTGTATACAGCACAATCTGCCAGATATTTGCATCAATGGCGCAGATGATCAAACCACTGCAAGCTCTGCTTACAAATGTTACCTGGCTACCAAGATTGGTGTTCCAATTTCAGTAGTATAACAATAACTATGTTTACTAATGAATCAATGTCGTATTGATTTTAGCATATAAATTAAGTAATGAAATCTTGTCATAATTTTCTATTTAGTTCTTCTGCTTATGTCGAGTTACGAACTTTATTAGTCTATAAAGTAACTTCTGACGTATATTTCCACACACTCCAGGACCTTGATGAATAAGTACTTATTCAATTCATATACGGTTACTCTATTACTTGCATATATTCTGGATATTTCAATTGAAGCAGTACCTTATACTGTAAGTATCTAAAATTAAAATCACATTATCGGATATAACCATACTGGTAAAATTTTAGTAGAACTTATCAAAATGATTACATATAGACGCGTCATAGAATGTGTTAATACAATCTGACATGGTTTAATCTACGAGTATATGCAATGTTAGATAGTTTAGATTTTATCAAGTACTGTGTAAACACAATAAGCTGATATTGAAGCCGAGATCTAGTGAACGAACCACTAGAGCTGAAAGCAATTAAAACTTGCTAGATAACTAGTTGTGAGTATCTATTGAACTTCATGAAGCACTTTTCCCTTTTTGTAAAAGAGATCACTTGTTATTTCAGTGTATATTTCAAAATACCTACTTAATGAAACTTTGTAGTAACAATACCATTGTGTGAGGAAAAATGTTGTTAGTGTAAAGGGTGTCTCAGTAAGAGTGCACTTTTTCATTTTATATTAAAAATACGTATTTTATAAAAGAGCAGTTATAAAAAATAGTTATAAAAGTAAAAGAGATATTTTTTTTGGATTGTAAAGAAGACATGTTCAAGGCATGAAGAATTAAATATCCGGCAAATGGCCCCCACGGCTCTGATGACAAAACCAAATGAAACCGAAACAAAAGCGAATCACAAAACCGAAACGAAACTTAATCCATACTAACTATTAATTAAGTTGTACTTTGTGCACATACCTACTATAATGTAAACATAATCCTTTAGATACTTTTTGTCAGTCAACCATCCAACCATCACCAATGCAGAACTAAATTTGACATTCTGATAAAATCTTTACTCTAGTGTAAGCTTGGAAGAAATGCCACAAGTATGATTTTAAGTCTCTGATCGAGTATAGAAGAGAACAAAAATCTTTTAAAATTGAATTGAACATTTTCAAGGCGGAATAAATTTATGTAAAGTTCCTTAAGAGGTAGAATAGAGTAAAGTAATATTTTTAATCGAAATGGGTGATGCCATTTAGAGATTATATCTAAGAAAAATATTAATCTACCTATTAGTGATAAAGAGCTTTGACTGAATACTCGTCTTAACTTTAAGATTTATGTAAATGGTATCTATAAAGTTTTCAGACTAATTCAGCTATCGTACAGTCCCTCGTTAAACGCACCTGTGGAAATTGTCTAGAGCATGACAAAATTGATTGAACACGATAGTTATGTATCCATTACGTCTAGTTATCTTGTACTGTATATTTATATTATTTTTTATATTTATTATACTACTAGGACTCTTGCTCTAAAAGAAATTAATGAAAATTAGAATATATTTTCTTCTTTTTAAATGAAAAAATATAAGAGACGAAGAAATAGTTTTATTGTAAAGTTTTACGTCCAAATCTTTATATAGATGTGCCTGGGAGAGCACGTTAAGCCCAGTACTTGAGTTGCGAAGGTCTGATGGCAGTCGCTGCGCGAAACAATCGAATTTCAGCCGTATCGTAGTAGACTTAAAGGGAACCCCAACCTAGTTTGCGAAAAAGATAGGAACGGAGGAAGATATATACAGGATCTATAGAGAAGGATATTGGCGCCTTCTAGTTTTGAAAATAAAACTTGAAGCTGGTTAAATAGGTGTTTTAGTTTTTTTTTTTGAATGAATTTTTCTTATCGGTCAATGGTAAAACAACGACGGTAACGTTGTGGCAGCGATTTTGCCGTTGCGTCATCATCATTTGAATTTTTTAAATGTCAAAAAATAATGTTTTACCCTACTACATCTCTCAATAAACATATACTTAACAAACAATGTAATTAATTACTAATTTTGAAGGTTGTAAAGATATGTCAGATGATAGCAAAGTTGTCAAAGGGAAAATGATTCATAACCTGCTCCCACAAAGCTCACATTTGAATTTAATGTTCCCTCAATAGTTTAAAAAGTATACGTCAACAGCCAACCTATTCGTTGCAACTATCAAAATGGGTTGTAATTTTTTTGTACTTGAATATATGCAAATTACAACGTATTAATTTCAGCCTCGTGGGAGTAGGATTAAAATAATTTTGTTTAACATTTTTTAAAATTTAAGTGATGGCTGCCAGAACGGTACTTTCTTCATTGACAGATAATAAAAGTCATTTGAAGTTTTTTTTAACTTTGTGCGAAACGGGTTAGTCGAATGGTTCAGTAGCTCTCCTACTAAAAGTTGATTAAAAAAACACACACGTTCATTTAGGTAGTTAGGACATACAAAATTATAAGCAATCGTTTAAAATAGATGACATAACTAACTCTAGCCTTAGTTTGTAACTTTGCTACTGAACTTGTACTAAATGCATCTTGGACTCAGACCGCAGTTGCGACCACAGCAGGCAGCTCAAACTTCCTCCTCATTTACATAAACTATTTAATCTCTACATTCATCAATGCATGTTACAACTTGTCTGTTATGTACGCATTCAGAGTTAAAATCACTTTTGCAAACTCACTCGGTCTTTGAGTTTTGAAGATTAAGAAATAGATTTACCAGACTCAATTTGGTTAGTATTGTTTGACTAGATATTTTCCCAAGTTTCATTACTTATAAGCATTTATGACCACTGGTCTACTCCTAATATTTGTGTGATATTAAGTAGCCTATATAACTGCCCCAATGAATACTATTCAAAATATTTATTCAAATTTGACTCATAATTCCAGAGATTAGCATGTTTACACAAATAATTTCTTTAAGTTTACTAAATAAGTACCTACCTTTATATATATAAAAGAAAAAATTACTTTAATTCTGTCATAATCATCTCAGCCGAAAGACGTCCACTGCCTGACATAAGGCCTCCTCCAAGGTTTGCCACAACAACCGGTCATGTACTGCCCGCATCCAATACTACTTAATAAACTATTATAGGATTTTTATCTGGCATCATAAACACTGTTAGATTCATTATATAATATATTCTAAATATCTATATGTATATGTGTATTTGTATATGTGTAATGTGCATAGATTTATATTTGTGTATGAATGTCTTTATTGAGATTTTGAAATATTTACTTGATAAAGTGTTACGTGTATGTATATAATAATAATAATTACTTACCTTTTTCATTTTAACCAACTCAATTATTTATGCCATAATTTATAGCAAACTATAATAGAGTTGACTGTACGTGTATTATTTTGAAATTTGCATAATAGATTAAATCCATAATTGGAATTTCAATTCGGATCACGTGGTTTAGGAATCATTATCCAGTCGTATATTAGGTAATGTCTCGGATTTAATTATTATTAACGTTTAAACAAATGACAATTCATGCATTGTGAACAGGATTTAAAACCTTTTAGATTGATTTAAATATTAATGGTGTTAGAATAGCATTACAATGTTGCTGTGATCTAACAATACCGTCAAAGCGATACATTACGCTGAATACTTAATCGTAGAGAAGAGAGAGAGAGAGAGAGAGATATTATATTTCCCATAACTATCATACAATCTATATACCATAACGTACAAAAAAAAGATTGAAGTTGAAAAACCTTTTTCAGGCACAAATTTAATATTTTGGAAATTCCCTAGTAAATCTTAAATCATCAATCATCACAAGTTACAGTATATAAATACTATTTTTTTAATTACCTTATCAAGGATATCTATTAAAACATAAGAAGGAAGATAACAGTCTCTTGTACTTTTATTAATGCACCGAGTAAAACTTAAGTAAAGAACATCATGGTCTAAGGATGGGTTAGACATCGGGCGAGGCGGAAAGACGACGTGGCGTGAGCGATTGAAATGTGCTAGCGACACTAACGGCTCTGTGTGGTATGATTTAATATAAAACTAGGATATTAACGCCGCCTCGCCCGCCGCGCCGTGTCGACCTCGCGCCACATTGCCAAATTTGGGTATTTTCAATTATTGTAAAATAACTCAATACACGTCGTTGAAAAAAGTTTAGAAATTAATTTAAAGTTCAAAAATATAAATGGTTACTTAGTTTCAATATTTTGTTACTCCTTTAATGTTAGAAATTATTTAAATTTAAACTGCTTCTAACATACTCGTTCACATCACACATATCAACAGCCTCTAATAATCCACTGCTGAACATTGGCCTCTCCTTAGAAACAAGGTTTCGGCCTAGTATACCACGCCGATAACATACTCGTTACCGAAACAAATTACAAAAACCTAACTTTGATTTACGTCTTCTTCTGGCAAACGAATGAGTCTAATTCAAAAGGTGTGTTTTAATTAAAAGAAACGTTTACTAGCAAAGGGTGGAGGTAACTCGGCAACTGGTAGAAGGTGGCGCACATTCCCCCACCGTCACGCCCGCTATAAGAGCTTTCTGTTGGAGACGTGTTTAAATTTAATGATCGAGTTCAAAGACTTAACGATCTCATCTTATTTAAAAATAAAATGATATTAGGTATACGTAATTTGAAGCTTAAATCCGTAGTAGTCGCTAATGAAGTACCAATGCATTTAGGTTCTTTAAATATTATATAGCCATATTTGAAACATTTGAGTTTGCTTTCCATTTCCAGTCCATTCTATTATATTTCCTTTAAAAACTTTTACTTCGTTTATTCAAAGATAAATTTTAATTCAAACTGTTTAAGTTTAAAACAGCCCGTCATTATCATTTTCGTCATCAATTATTGGCCTTTTAGACGATTTCATCGCGAGATCTGATTTCTATGACTCTATTCTCTAAAAGGCCTTTGTTAGTTTAAATAACATTTCTACAACCATTGTCAAATTGTAGTACGCAAAGTGAAATATTGAGGAAGCCATAGAGAACTGCTGGTATATTTAAATATGCGGAAACCATCTCGATAGACTTATAAATTCAGATATATAGATTGTTACACTACTGCGACTGTTGATACTGCGTTTAATTGTAACAATAAATTTCATAGTATGTCATCATCATCAACAGCATTTAATAGTCGACTGCTAGACATAGGCCTCTCCTTAGAAAGGAGGTTTTGGCCTACTATACCACGCTGGCCAGACGGGTTGGTATAGGGTTTGTGTCAAGTTTTCCTTCTCTTTATAGTGTTTTTGTCCTGCGTAGTTTGCTCCCTCAGTCGGCTCTTACGACACCCACGGGATGAATGGGTTTGGTGACAATTCGTATTCTTAGTCCGTCACTAAACGGACAATTATATGTAAGTTTATGTAATAGAGTATGCCGGCAATATATACAGATATTATGCCGGCATACTCTATAGTTCATAGGAAATTCATTTATATTTTAAGTTGCTCATCAATGTAGATGTAGGACAAGTATGTATAGCTACCCAATGAGAAAAAAAATCGTCGGTTCAAAGGGATTTAAATGGGCCGGCTAAAGGCATCAACGTGTCAAGATATGAAGAGGTTGTGCACTACAAAATAGTGGGACAACGTATGGTATTTTGGAAAAATATTTTCTAACTTTTGCTTCATTTATTTCATATTCTTTAATTTGAGGCATTGAGTTAACTACGTTAGCTAACTCATTAAAACAACTCTAAATTATTATTTGACATTACAAATGTAAAGTTAGACGATGTTGTTTTTGTTGTTGATGAAGTGACGCCTCATTTAAGTTTAACATTTATTTAAGACGCCCAAGAAATACTATGAAATACTAACAAAACAATTATGAACTAAATTCAATAACTTAACCAATTTTAATCTCGTCAAACTAAAATAGGTTTAGCGTTAAGTCATCAGAAAATAAAACTTCATTCATTTCATTGTCTTAGTGATCTCTATTTAGTTTAAAAAGTTGTGTTACACTATAAATAGACACTATATTTTTTATGATATTGGGAATAAACCAGTACAAGATGGATCATTTGGGGGTAAGTGACTACCACCGCTGCCGGCTTTTGCCTCCGAAAAGTAACAAAAATTAATAATGTAATATTATTAATAATATAATATTATGTAACGATAAAAGCTGAGGAGCGACTCAAATAGGATCGTTGTTAACTTAATACAAATTTCACCTCCAAGGTTGAAATATTAAGAGATGAAGAATATATATATATATATTACAATTTATCGCTATTTAGGTGATGATGAAGTAACAGGTAATGATGAAGTAATTATCCTATTATATTCTAGGGCAAAAGAACAAGAAAGGAAAATTGCGGCCAGAATGAATTACCTTGCAGAATATAATGAAAAACAACGAAAGGAAAGAGCGCAAAAGGCTGCAGAAAAACAAAACAGAATCAAACAAAGGGTAGAAGCAGCAGCAGAAATGGAATTGAGAAGAAAAATTACCATGGTGCGACAGTGGCGAGCAAACGAAAAGAAGAGATTAAACAGACTGAAGATGGAAAGAGAAGCAAAAAAGAAACAAATAGAAGACCAGGTTAGAAAATTTATTTTAAATATTAATATAATCCTGTAACAAATAATTACTTCTTCTGATAAAAAGTTTAAAATTTGTTTTAAAGTTAAGTTAAGAAATTGTTTGACTAAAAAATCTAGTAGTGCACCGTTATTGGGCTTCTCTTCTTTTCATTCCTAGCTTTAACTAACAACTCCATTTAAACCATACCCAAAACAATCAGAATAATTTATTTTTCCTTAACGCCCGTTCATTGATGTAATTTGTCAAGCATGCCGAAACAGCAATATATGAAATGGTGGGGATTTAACCGACTTTTTTTGTTTAACGCTAAATTTTTCTTTTTCCGTAATCTAATGTCCCGTTTACAGTTCGTTCTCGGTCCGATCTCGGTCTGGTAAAATCGTATTATGTTCACATTCAGTCATGAATCGTTAATAAATTGAAGTCGGATGCATCTGACTCGTGAATAATTAATTAATAACATTATAAAAGTATTGTCATATTTGCGGTAAAAAGATGTCATTGAACTTTTAGACTGAAGAATAATACTGTAGCTCTTATTTTTGAAGAAGATAATGTTATCAAGACAAGAAGAAAACAAAAAGCAATAAGAATGTGGGTTTATCCAAGTTTATTGCAAGGAAAAAAGGGAGGAGAATATTACACTCTCTATCCCTATTTAGTTAATGATAAAAAAAAGTAACTACTGTTGAATTTATTTGGGTACGTTTAAAATGATGTTGGCAATTGATGCATTTATCGCTTCAGCGGGTAATAGCTGACTAAATACACATTCACACTATCTTACACCTACAAAATTTCTTAGAGATTGATCGTGACTGGAATGGGATTCGGGGGTTATGGTATTGTTATTGTTACGGATAGTATGAATGCACATATATGTTTATTACTTGATAATATTTTACCAGACCGAGATCGGACCGAGAACTAAACGTGATATTAAAAAAAAAACGAACGAAGAATTTTTTTTCCGGGTATCTGGCTTTTTAATATTACACCTCTAAGTGAGCTTTTTATCCTCATGAAAGTGTTTTGTACTGTCAACTATTCTGGATCTATATTGGCTCTTTATAACGATTATTAAAATTGTCGATTACATTCTTACAAATATAAGTAAACGTACTATAAAATACTTTCTAGGAAAAGTTATTGCGCAAATTTGGATCAAAATTATAGAAAACTTTTGTTATTTAATGAAGTATATTTTCAGGCAAACAAAAAATGGTCGGCCCGCGTAAACGCTCAGAACATGAAAATCCAAGAGGAAGCCCTTCTTCTGAAACTGTATACGGAAGATATGACGGCTGGTGCTACAAGAAGAGCCAAGTAAGCTACTTCAATACCTACTTCCCTTATTCAGGTTTTAGACACTTTATCCTGGCCTACAATATTCTTATCAACACACGATATTTATAGCCTTATTCACTATAGAGAGGCTCGTGGCTAAATGGTAACCGAGTAGGTTAGCACATTGCGAAGTTAAACATTCCTAGCCAGGTCAGTCTAAGGATGGGTGACCATTTTTATTACGTTAGCCGTCTATTGCGGTCACCATACGAGCATCTGTGGCAATCATTACGGGTAGTTGGAGTCCTAAACAGTCGGACAACAGTATATCTATAGAACTTCGATATCGCCTAGTACTTGGGTTGTGAAGATCTGATGGTAGTCGCTCCACGCAAAAAAAACGACGGGTTGCACTCCGGGAGTGCCGGTAGAAGTGAAAACTTGAATACTAACGTTGTGCATTTTTTATATTTTGGAATGGTTAGGGAATAATTTTGCACGAATTGCTTTAATTATCAGCATAAAAGTACTATCATTTATGTGGTAGAATACAATATTTATTTATTGCGCTATCGTACACAAACATGACTATTTATCGAGACGCTGTCACCATCCATGTATGCACGTGGCACGCTGTAACATAAACATACACGAACATTCGCGCAAGCGCCCTGCTCCGCCTAAACGAAACTGCAGGCGCAGGCTCACATTTTCGCCGCGTCGTAGAAAGAGAGGGGGATACATCCTTGCCTTCGCCGCGCCGGCTGTCAACTCTTCATCCGTCTTACGAATTTTCGATCAGGTCACGTGTCCTGACGCGAGTTTAACATTTTTTACCCATTACAAAAAAAGTGTACAACGCCGCTAAAGAAGTTTTCACTTCAAAAAATCTGCCGTTTCGTAGTAGAACGAAAGCCGACCCCAACCTAGTTTAGGAAAAGGCTCGGAGGACGATGGTCATGATATTTATAACCAAAGAACACCAGTATTTTAAAAAAGTATACCTACACAATCAGACAGATACAGACTAATAAAAGAAAAGGAGAGAATATAATCCTAATTTATGTCGATTCTATCGGTTTCTAAATTGAACGAAACAAAGCAATAAAGCCTTGATTGTATTCCAAATGACACGTAAATTTCTGTCGTAACCGACACGCAAGAGTCCCAGATCAAGTTGGAGTAACGTTAAATCGTGTGTAGCTTATCTAATTGTTCGGTTTTTACTTAACAACCAAACGTACTCACGTTACTATTGAACAAACTTAACACACTCTAACTTGCAACTCTGTTAAACGATTTCGTTTTAGACCTCTGTTCACGACCCATCAACTTGAAAATACTTAGTTAACGCGCTATTCTCAGTTATTAACAATATTGATTATTTTAATTTTCTAAACAGCTAGTGATATACGAATCGTAAAGGCTCAATTTTCTGTGCTTTTATTATTCTATCTATTTGGTAACACTTCAGAAAGTTAATACAACCAAGTTAAGACATTCATAAAACGTTGGTAGGTATATTAGAACCTTTTATACTTAAAAACATCGTATTTATATATTTTACCATTATTTATGTTACAGTGTTTTTTAACATGTAACTATTCTGTTTTGTTCAAGTTTCGTAATGTAGAGATAAATGAGCTGTATTTGTTCCTGTCGTTTCCTTGTTTTTTAGTTCTTTTTATCACTTTCCTTTTAGGTGAAATTGACGATATTTTAAAATATAATAACATTGACAGCTTTTCTTGAAGTAGGTAATTTTTACTTAACACAGGAAGGCGGAGATATACGCATACAATACTGATTTGGAGCTACAACGTATTCGATTAGCCAACTGGAAAGCTTTGCATGGAGGAACAGCTAAAGCAGTGCAATTGGTCAGAAAAATGGGCGCCGAATTTGAGAAGGTATTCTACAATTATTGAAAAAAAACAACCACTGTTTTTTTTACTTTTAATTCTATTTTAAGTACCTTATTGAAAACATTTCAAATAATCGAAACCACCCTTGAACTAAGCTTACTTTTGCTAACATCTGAAATGAGCTAACCGCTTGTATAATGATTATTTTTTTTTAAATCTATTTTTGGTAACCTTTAAGAGTAGTTGTTTTTATTGGTGTATATATCGATATAATACTGTCTTTATCTCTATCGCTTTTATCCATCATAAATATGAGAAGGATCACAAACGCCTACTATGTCTATTAAAAACATTTTGAAATTATAACTATCAAATCATGACTAAATTATACCAACAAATTGGACACCATGGTCTGAAATAAAAAGTTTATAATTATATTATTATAAATACTTCTTCTTTTGAGTAGAAGCCCTTGGAATAACTTCATGTTGCCAAACCATATTATAACGTCAAAACTCTAGCACTTAGGATTGTAAATAATGGCTACAATATGTGAAAAAATATTACTTTTGTCAAGTTCTTACGTCTATTAAGTAAAAATACATCACTTTGATACATTAATTTCTAAATTTTTTTAGTTAAGCTAAATTGTTTTACTGTTTTTTTTATATAATATCGATTTATGTAGTATAGAATTTTTTACTTAAGATTACAAGTTTTTTGTTCTTCACAGTCGAAACGTGGCGCTAAAGGGATGTCGCCTGAGCTGGCGCAGGAATTGGCTGAAGAAGCAATGAGTGCTACTCTCTCCACTCGTGGTGATGCTCTCATGACGCTCGGCCAGGCTCGCGCTAGGATGGACCTAATAGTTGTGTTACCATCTGCACCTATCAGAATATTAGATGAGGTATTGAACTTTATTTTAGGTTTTGTTGATGTTTTTCATGATTGTTTTAAACCGGTGACTGACTCGTTGGTAATTTACAGTTACTTGTTTTAGTGTTTACTCACTGGATATTTGTTTTAGTGTTTACACTTATTTACAGCTATGTTGAATACTTTACTTCTTACTAGTTTACTGACTTATACTTATATATACTTAAGGTTGCTGTTACTTTCTTTTTAAGAGTAGAACATCGCATTAGTTACATACAGATAAGGATTCCCCTTTTTTTTCCGTGCGGAAATCCCCTCGGATACCACCAAATATCGGTGGCACGTCGGACTCGAACCGACTAAAACCGCACGCCGTCTCGGGTACTAATAGCCGGGGAACCAGGTAGGTATACCCTAGAAAGGAAAGGATTCCCCTACCCTGTTATACAACAGAAAGTTCTCCTTCATTTAATTATACAGCATTTGAATAATTCCTTTTTTATTCACAACATAATGGGCAATTTTAAAATTCACGAAAAAGGTAATATTGTTACTTCCTAAAATATTGTAATTTATGTAGGTTCATTGACTGGCAACATATGGGTTTAATTTTTTGCCCCTAGCTAGGAATATAGGTTTATGGTAACATGATGCAAGAGTAACAAAATAAAAAAATAATAATAGAGTAACTTGTATTATTTTGTCACTGTCTAGAGATTGTTTTAAGTGGATGGTCAGCGCAATATGTAGGTCCCTGTCTGTGTTATAAGTAGGTACCTGTCCTTTTAGTACCTGTTAGTCTAAAATGGGTCAAGTATGTTAGGCTACGCGCAATATAGGTACGAGTTCCGTGCTATGTTACTACCCGTTTCAAATAAGTAACATTTTATTAGCATTTCGTACTACGTACAAAATGTTTGAAATTATGTGTATTTTGTAAGCTAGCCCACTTACTCTTTGATTAACAGGAAAATGAACCATAATACTTTTCCTTTTAAATTCTTAATATATACAATCATCAATAAATTTTAGCGAACCGATCACATAATTGAAAAATTATAACTCCAAAAGTAAAGCTTCCCTTCGTATCCAAAGTTCTTGAGGGCCGTGTCAACCAGCAACTATCTCAACATATTTACCACAACAACTTCAGGGGTTCAACCAATCGGGGTTCAGGCCCAGGCAGTAGTGCTACTATTTCCGCTCTGCTAAAAGTGACCGGTAACATCCGAGGAATTGAGAAATCCAAAGTTACTGTGTTGACTTAGGTTGATTTCTTAAATGCATTCAACGCTGTCAGTCAGAATATCCTTTCCTATTTTATAATTACGCCTGATACACTGGAATGGTTCTCCTCATATCTCCAGGAGCCAACCAACAGTCTGTCCGCGTCGATGAAACCTCCTCAAGTTGGCGTGAACTTGACTGTGGTGAGACACCACAGTCAAGTGCACGCCAACTTCAACACACGTTCAAGGTTATTCTTAATATTAATCAATCTCATTATTCCGAATCTTCAATGTGCGTACCATCTTTATGCCGAAGACTTGCAGTTCTATTATCACGATATGACAGATGACATAAACGAGGCCATTTTTATAGTTAATAATGACCTAGAGGCTATAAACAGTTAGGCTCATAGGTTTCGTTTGACTGTGAATACAACGAAGTGCCATGCCATCATCATAAGCAGTCAACGTATGACTGGAAGGACAAAATGCCACCCATTACTTTTAACGACGTAGTCATTCCCTTCAATTCTTCTGCTAGAACCTAGGCCTATTTATCGACTCCAAGGTCACCTGGCAAATCTAGGTCAGCCAGAGAGTTACAGGTACGCTACGAACTTCTTAGGAACTTAAGAACTTTCTTCCTTCTGAGACAAAAGCGATGCGGGTACAGACCCTCATTGTCGTCCCTATCTTGGATTATGGTAATCTATGCTATTATAACCTGAATGCAGATCTCCTCAATAAATTAGACCGCCTTCTCAATAACTGCATTTGATACGTCTATAACCTTCACAAATACGACCAAGTTTCCTGTTTTCGCCGGGAATTAGACCGCACGAATGGCGTAGCGGTTTAAACGGTCACCTCGCCGCTTCCTACTGCGCTAAGTGTTGTGGGTCCACAAAGTGTTGTCCTGATTCTGGATTTTCTTTGTGTCTGTTTCATGTTTGTAAAGTACCCCCTGATTATATTCCTGTAGAAAAAATAATCTAAGAAGTGTAAACGTTCTGTGACTGGAGAACGCAACTTTTCACGACTTGAACCAAATATAAAACAATTCTTAAGTTAAATAATTTTAAATAAGTAAGAATTTAGAATACTGAGTTGAATGAACGTAACGGGACATATTAGTTATATGTGTATAATAAAATCCTTTAAAAAGAGACTAAATGAAAAGCCATAAGTATTACAATTTAAAACGATTAACAATGTTTCGTATATATTGATGAGAGTAAATACATTTGTATCCTGAATCGATTATTCTCATTATGGCCGACACCCAACCCTAAATGACAACTGGCAAAATGCACCATTTTAAATTATTTAGAGTATAGTGCGGGAATTGTCTTTTTTTAGGAAAAAAAATTGAACTAGCTCGCGATTTGTCAGCGCCATCAACTGCGTGTCCCCACCACACTCTATTCCATACTCAACTCACCTATTTCCCCTTCCTACCTGACATCCTCATTCCAATTTCTGTGTTCCAATCACAACAGTACCTCCTCTCCATTCCTCAAACAATCCACTTCTATTTTACTCTCTCTAGCATATTCATCACATCCTTAAAGTTTTATAAATTGTATTATTTGTATATAATATGTAAGTATATAGCTCAGCAAGTATGTATATGTGTATTTCAGTATGTACATCTGTCCCACTGTTTCTATCCGTCTCCTCAATTATTATTGTCTCTTTAAAACAAAAAAACTTAATTTCTAATGCACCTAAGACATTTTCTCACCACCAAAGGTAGACTGGGAGAAAATGCCCGTGGCATTAAGTACGCCATTGTACAATTATTTTTTTATGTGCATAAAGAATGAAAGTTAAACAAGAAAGCTTTAAAGTACTTACTGTCTCTAAGCTAAGCCGCGGGTAGGCGAACAGACAAACAGGAATTGTGCTCATACTTTTTATTCGTACTTGACATCTTTTTAATACTATTGTTACCCTTTCTTTCTTCTGCCATAGATGCTGGAGAATGCAATAATGGAGTTCGCTCGTCGTCGTGTACACCTCCTCTTGAGTGACGTGGAGCGCGTGGTGCGCGCCCGCGCCGCCAGCGTGTTCTTCAAATCATATAGACCACAGATCACAAGGAAAGGGTAAGTCTCCGTTGACAATATTTTTTTATTACCAGTCACCAACATTTTCGTACCTTTAGCCTAATATTCGTAAAAAATTAAAATAATATTGAAATAATTTTAAAATAAAATAAAACGACAAAAGGATAGTATTTATTTGATAAGTTAATACACCAATAAATATTGGAAATTGAGGCTACTGAAGAAACGAATTTACTTGTTGATATTATAATAGTATACTTAACAAATTTTAAAATAGATATTTACAAAACAAGACCCTCAGGCTAAATACTTACTCTATATAATGTTTAAATAGCGCACAACAACCTCGTTGGTCAGTTAAGCTTGTCGCTGACCTCGCCGAAAAGTTCGCGGAAGTGCGTGGCTCTGGCGGCCCCATCGCATTTGGGCCTATCACCGATATACCAGTTCAAGAAACACCTCCGCAAGAAGGTACCCAATGGAAGAGTGTTAAAGACAGGCCCCCTACGCCTGTGGTATGTTGAATTCACTGCCTTACTTTCACGATAACACCTTCTAGGAACTTGGCAGAAAAGGTTCTTGACGATGATATCAATGGCTGCACGTAACCGTATCTAGAAACGATATGTGATTCAACTCCCTACTTACATACCTGTTAAATATATTTTTGGGATGTAATATCATCATCATCAGCCTATCGCAGTCCACTGCTGGACATAGGCCTCTCCCATTGCACGCCACTTAGATCGATTTTGGATGTAATATATTCAGCGGTAATTACGTCATGCCCAGTACCAATAAGTGCCTATTTGATCTGTCAGACGTCCCAAAGTTCTTTAACGGCAAGAACCTCTACTAGCAGTCTTTCATGCCCAGACGTGGGAGATCTCTCCTCTCGACTCTGGAGATATTCCTAGGTTTTTCCTAGTTTACCTAGGTTTAGACCTAAGCAGATTGCGCATAGCATAAATGCACATGTAACGGGCTTAGGACTTGTCTATGTAAATAAATACCTTAGCCCCGGCTTCGTGAGTAATCATCGTGGTTCGTAGTTTTATGTTCGAAGCTGATATAACTAAAGAGGTATTGACACCTAAAAAACAACAAAGTTTTAGTTCAGTAAGACTCAGGCCCAGGTTTGTACTTGTGAAGATAAATACAATACATACTCCGAATGATTACAGCCATCACTGATAAAATTAGCTGAAGTGACATTCTGTGACCGCGTGGAAGACCTACCTGACCCCGTCACCCACGGCCTGTATTTGCCCGAAAGAAGAAAGCTGCTAGAGGTATTTAATATTACCTATTGTGAAAACAATTTTATATTCTTTTTATACAAGTTAATTTAAATGAATCGTAATTTTTTAATGTCTTTAGATGGTAAACGCATCTGCCAAACTGCTATCAAGATGTGTCAGTCAGCGAGTGCAAAAGGGAATGGATATCACTACAGGGAAAGTGACGTTACCAAAATGCCGACACGCCAGTAAGTGCAAAGAAAAAAGCTAAAGAATATGCTGTTAACTGCAGTAGAGTTTAGCTTTTCTTATAAAATAAGATTATTAGCCAGGTGACCACAAAAATAAATTTCCCTGCCAAGCATATCTGTTAAACTGAAGTTTTAGTCAAGACTTTTAATAATCAATGAACCAAAAACTTTTTTGATACTCAAACTATCTAAAACGGAACCTCAAAAACCTCAACCATAATTGTTCTCTAAACTTGCAGTGGAATGGGGTGAAACGGTAGAAAGCATGTCAACTGCAGTCGTAAATAACCGCATCCAACCTGATTCAGCGGACATCAGGCGCACCGGAGAATTCCTAGCATATCGCATATTGTTATCTCTGTCTAATGAGATGAAAAAAGAGAAGCAGGTACGTAGTCTGTCCTATTTGATTAACACAACAAGTTACACGACCTCTAAACTTTGAAGAAAAGAGCACTCTCCCATCTTCAAGGCCGGCAACGCATTTTTTATTTTTGACTTGCAGTTGTCTTTGGACGGTGTTACCCACTTACCATCAGGTGACCCATGTTCTCGTTTGCCACCTACATCATTTTACAAGTCTTTATCTGCACTATCTCATTTAACAAGATTCATTCAATGATACAAATAAGTTATACAAAAGAATCATTTAATGACACAAATAAGTTAAGAATTAAAAAAATCGACTGCCAAAGCCAACTTAATTACCCACAATACAGCCGCCATACATGCTGTTATACTTTTCTTGTTTAGTTAAACTAATATGATTATTTTTCAAGGTTTTTTAACATTAAATTTTTAGATATAAATGTTTGCGTGGGTATAGATACTTTTTTTTTATTTTTCTTTAATATTTTTTTGCATTAATATTATTCTTCAGATGCTGGAGGTAAAATGGTTCCTCCGGGAGACGTAATGGTGGCGGACTCGGTAGCGAGCTTCAATTAGCAAAATGAAGATATGACTAAATCGAATTAACTAGTCGTCATTTATTGCTATTAATATTTAGAATGAGATGAAACTCCAATCTCCTCCAAGGTGTACGCTAGGAAAATAAATTGTAAATATACTTGATAAACTCAAGCAATTATGTTACAAAGTCATTGAAATTCGAAGGCATTATAGACATTTTTTTTTAAATATGTATTTGAATTTGAAGGAAACGATTGGATGAACGTTAAGGAACTCGAAATGCCGATATACTTATGTATGTCATTTATTCCTGAAGGGTCGGGAAGATATGCGAAAAGACGTTATGTAGACGGTGTGATCTGTTAGCTAGGATGTTTTGTTCCTCATTGGGTATCTTAACTTATGAGCCCTATTACCGTACTAGCGTAGTAGTACTCAGAGATTGTTCGGTGTATATTTTTTTTCGACATTTTTGTTTTCTTAAATAACAACTTTAGTTGAATTGTATATTTTAAATCAAACGAATATGTTTGTTTTTTCTAATTTTTCTTTGACGAAATCTGTAGATATTAATAAAGAATGAACTTCATCAGTTTTATTTTATTTGGTAGTTTGTCTTTTGTTTCCATTTCATTCACGAATACATACATGAACTGAAGCGCAATAAAACGCCGGTATTTTGCTGACTCAAATTTGGAGAAGGGTCCGAAGCTTTAAAACAATTCATTGTGTTGATTTTTAATGTTAATGTGGAAGTTGGTCTAGTTCACAGGGATTCGTAAAACAACAATTGTATCCATTACAACAAAAAACAACGAAATTAATTTATAAAACTTTTTACACAACTATTATTTTTTTCACCGTATCTTTGTTTCGCTTCATCTGCTATATGCTGCGATAAATGCATAAGTTTTGTGTTAGAACTTAATTAAGGTGGTGTTGTTAACAAAAAAAATTGTAAACACCACCCCAGTGGTGTGGTTCAGTGGTGTCGTTTACAATACACGTATAAGTCGGTGTAATAAGCCTCTAGAATCTTATTTAGATACCTATACGAGTATATTAGAGGTTAAAGTATGAAATTACCGATTTTTACTGAAAAATAGAAACTCGTTTTTTCTAAGATGTTACATTTATTTAATCAAAATATTTACCCTCATTATCCAAACATTTCTGCCATCTTTCATTTATGCTTTAACGATAGAACTCTGCCGATATAGATTCGACAAACTGTGTGAAAGCATTTTATACTGCCTCCTGGGAAGATTTTTTTTTATGACATAAAAAATTATCATAATCACGAAAAAAATGATAGTCCGTTGGAGCAAGGTAGTATGGTTACTAACTGGAGCTCCTGTAGTGTTACAACGGTTTCTCGTGCAGTGTGAGGTCTTGCGTTAACATAGAGCAATAATGTTAACATAGAGGAACATGGGGTTCCCACACGGGGGGGTCGTCTACCTGTTGTTGTAGATGGCCCGAGGTATGTCGGGGCACCAGAGACTTCCTTTCTTGGGTATACCTGGTTCCCCGGCTATTAGTACCCGAGACGGCGTGCGGTTTTAGTCGGTTCGAGTCCGACATGCCACCGATAGGTGGTATCCGAGGGGATTTCCGCACGAAAAAAAAAAAAGCTCTGTTGCGGCGTTTGACCTGGGGTCAGCCATTGCATTTTTCGCTTAAGGTTATCGTAAACAATCCACTTTTTGTCACATGTTACAATTCGATCCAATATTCCTTCATTTCTGTACCGATTCAACAAGTCAACACACATTTCTTTCTACAGATCCGTCAACTGCCTCATTATGAGGCAGACATTTTTCATACTTTTTTATCTTATTGATTTGATGCAAGTGATTCAATATATAGGTGGGGTAACGTTAAACCATGACGATAATTCCTGGGTAGTTTAACTCGGATCGGCTTCCACCATCTCCTTCAATTCAGCGTTATTCACCTTTGTGAATTAATATATAATAAATGTCTCCATTACGAAAGCGTTTAAACCAAAAACGCACGGTACGTTCATTAGCAGACCCCTCTCCAAACGCAGCGTTGATATTGCTAGCCGACTCGGATTTTCGAGGTATCCATCTTTCAATTCTAAGCTGACTATAAAAAAACAATTGGAAGTCGAAAATCGAATGTTGCACATTTTTTAAAAGAAGAACCTCATAGGTATCACGTGAAAAAAGTTTCGCAGGAAAATCTCACACCATGAAGGTTTTATGTAAATTCAAAGTATCTATTACATACAAGGGCAATTTCATACTTTAACCCCAATTATTAGGCGACTAACTATTTTTTTTTTTTCAAAGTATATTTTTTATGTTTTATTTTATATACTTTATATGGTTATAAGAAATAACTACAAATACTTTTTCCTGCTTTCCCGACTTACAACTATAATGCGATTAAGGAGCGTGGCACATACGCATAAATACAAAAATCAGTCCTATATAAATCGACACCATATCAATTTATTTGACTTTTATCTGGGACAGAAAAAAAAATGTAGAGAAAGATGAAAAACAAGAAAAATGTAACTGTTTGCGTTGACACTGAAATCTGATGGCAGTGTGTGCCTACAAAGATTGAAATCTTTAATTAGAAATACTATTCTATGAGATCAATAAAAAAATTATCAGGAGATCAATAAAAAAAGTTTATTCAATTAGGGATTGTGAGTTTTATACTTTAGTCTTGACTTTTTTTTTTAATCAAAATTAGTTTTCAACTGCACAGACAGGTCAGGCGCAGGCGTTTTTTGTTTGATATACGAGTATATTATGTAGATTAAATGTGAAAAAAAACTGTTATATACTGTGCATTTTGAAGAAAATTTCGTGAACAGAACGAGGCATTGCTAAAAATTTATAGCAGAAAGAAGTAAGGCAGAAAGTTTTTTTTTTAAATATGTATTGTCGCTAACACTAGTCAATGAAACATCTAAAAAAAATTATATCATACTCTGAAATCTACTATTTAATTGCAGAAAAAACTAAATGATATGAAAGAAGATAAAGGTGACTTCTACGTACCATGGGAAGAACCTTAAAGGAGTGACCAAACAGCAAAATAAGAAGCAAAGTTTGGAATAGTTTGTTAAAAAAAGGTTAACTTGTAAATTATTTATTTCTTAACTTTTATATAGCTCTTCTATATTATTCTTTACATGTTTTTTTTAAGTTTCATATGATCTTATAGCTAAGCGATTTTTAATATTTTTGACATGATTTTCTTTTGTGCATTTTACTGCTGATTTAATGTGTCGTTTTAAAATTAAGTTCTCGAAATAAAAATAAAAACATCAGAATCTGATTTGTTACATTATTTTATTTTATTTCATTACCTACGTATTCTGATGTTAAGGGTTCCGTAGCCATTTATTTATAAATTTGTTTTGTGCGTTCTTTTGAATGCTGACTGTATATATCCGTTATGTATATATCCGTCGGTGTATCCGGTGACGGATTAAGAATACGGAGTACCCCTATTCATCCCGTAACAATAACAAATTATGGGTACAACCGCTTAAAAGCGATGAAAACTACAGCCACTCCGGAATACCGGATAAAAATAAAGCGTAGATTAGAAGGGTACATAGTTGGCGAAAATTTTTCCCACAAGTGGTTTAAACCATTGGATAATGGTTAGGTACCTACATCATTTTGAAAATCATATACATACACATTTACGAAATGCCCTCAGGATACCGAACGGTTACCTTACCCAAAGTAGCCTTGTGTTTCTATAATACGTGTATTCCATCTGTAACCAATGGACGGCCCACTTAATTTCGATATTTTCGACCCTCACTTTTTCCTTCAAGAGTGTAATTTTGGCCAAGAGTTGGTACGTGATCGGTGTGCGATACTCTATACTTATAGTGAGTGGAACGATTTGGCCGAGTAGATTGGAGGTAGGTGCAGAATGAAATACAATATACGATGTTGATGTACCGAATTCAAAATAAATTTAGAATAAATGTACACCAAATAAAAACGCTGAAGAATTTTTTGTTTGTTTGTCTAGAAATACTAGACGGATTCAAAAAAATCTTTTTGTATAGCCAGATTCCTAAGGAATTAATTTGGGCTATTTTTCTGAAAGGATTAGGCTAATGGTTATACCTAAAAAAAAGGTGTGTAACACCTATTAATAGTTTTAATATTAACTTTGAACTATCGAGTGCCATAATATTATGGAACGTGATAGTTTTGCCTAGTCGAATTCTATGCCTGTTACAGGCAACATGAGCAATTCAAAGGTTTGTACTTAATATAGTTTTAATTCCATTGTGAATAATTTTAATCTAAAAAACATTAATTGAAATGATGAAATAAAATAAAAAGGTTAAGAAAAAGTTATAAATCATCACTTATCAATCCTACGCGGGCGGAACCGTGGGACACAGTCAGTTGAAAATAAATTAAGATAACTGATAGATAACTGAACCCAAAAATGGGGTCGGAGCGAAATCCATTTCAGCTTCTGTTTAATAAAGTGTGTGTCATACTTAAAGATAGGTAACAGATATTCGGAGGCCCCTAGCACCATTCATATTTTAATATTTATAATGTAATAGAATCTACGTATTTTTCTCAATTTTAAACCTCTATTCTCAGTAGTTCTACACTGAGGTGTGGCACCATGGACATTATATTTGCTGCGTGTGTAGCAATACTAAAGATCTGTCTAATATTTGTTCCGAAACCTCATCAAGACATGACTTCAAAATGACTGACACTCCAGTTTCAGATTTGAAATTGACTGTAGCCAGTAACAAATAACTTGTTGAAGTGAGTAACAAGTAACTAAAATGATCTCTTGAATGTATCAAATGAATTCTTTCAATGAAGAGATTCTTATGATGAAAAGTAGTCATCCATTAGTAGTTAATGCATCCTAAGCTGATATTAACATTCATTCAACAACAAATCATTCTCAAAAGATAGCGACACTAGGAAAGGTACCGATGCTTTTAGGAAGATCGTGATTTTAGTTGATTATGAACGGTTTGGATGATGTTTGGACTGAACGATGACTAGATGATTTGGCACGGATATACTCTGTAATACACTTTTTCCGGAAAAATATTGATAAAATTACAATAAAAGCTAGTGAATCTTCATGTAAATACAGTGGAGAAGAGTGCAGGCGGAATGGTGAGAGCGACTATTTTTCACTAACTCTGAGTTCATTAGGTAACAGTAATTATTTTCTATCGTATAGCTCTTAGCAAACAGAAACTATCGCTTTTGCCAAATATAATATGTATGTGAAGCGTAAATACAGCAAAGTACCTGCTCTTGTGTGGCCGAGAGGAGGATCTCGTGAGCGGCTATAGTTAAACCGCTGTAAGCTTGGCCCTCCTGATGGTTTGGGGGACGCGGGGCGGGGGTGCATTCAACCAATTAGCTAGTGCGTCGCTGTCCGCCGGCAGTGACTGACGTGAAAGCATGGCTGTACGTGTTATTTTTCTTAAGACTGCTACACACGGTATTATTTTGCAACATGGATAATCTGCCGACTCTGCGTCACAAAAAGATTTAAAAACTTGAAGTTCGGCTTAGAGAGGTTCTACTGTTAAAGTTCTAATTAAGAATATATATTGTTTTACTTAATTTTAAAATTGTATCTGAATATAATTTACATGATGAAGATAAGGTGATTTTATTAAAATTATTTTACAGTATTAAATTTTACAATTAATCATAAAAACTTACAATACACTGACATTATAATACATGGAAATAAATTCGATTTTTATTACATCGTGTGTAGATTAAATCTCAAACAAATAAATCTGAAGATATCGAGTTAGTACATCGGGTCATGTCATGTATAGCCGAGCGCATCACCCGCCCCGCGTCCCGCAGAGCATCAGGAGGGCCAAGCTTACGGCGGTTTAACTATAGCAAAAGTCCCTACAAGTATTTCGAAACAGTTTATTGTCACTTTATAACACCAACACTAAGTATACAGTTTATATCCACAAGTAAACAATCTATTGACAAGAATAATCTTTCTCCTTACGTATCGGAGTGTCCGAGCGCACGACTGCTGACTACTCTCCAGTAATAAATCGAATCAGTGTACCTACACCCTTGGTAAGAAGATGGACTTTAGATAATTTTAATTTAATTTAAATTATTTATTTTATACACGAACCAAATTTTAAATTTTAAGGAAGTTAATTAATATTATACTAATAATAGATAGGATAGAAATAGGTTTTTAACAATTTAACAATATTTTTAGGACAAAAATGAAAATGAAATTTTAGTGTTTAGACACTCCATATGAATGCCTATAAAAATGAGAAGTTGGTTTATGTATGCTTCAAATACTCCAGAAGCTCTGCACTGTTCGAGCTAAAATTATGACACAACATTTAAACCGCTTTAAAGATTTTGGAACGAAGTTCCTTATAGCGTGTTACAAGCTCTGAGCGGATGGGAGTGAGACCGAAAAATGTGTAACAAGAATTTTTGCCCTCACCAGTTGGCGCGTCGACGCTCACATCTATTTCATATACGAGTATATAGCAAATGTTTACCAAAAAGCGAAAGGAACTACATTCCGACCGGGGGTCCATAGACCCTTCAAGCCGTTTTTTACTTATTTTTACGTCAGTCTTGTTCCTCTTTTCTTATCAATGCAACCACAATGTGCCACAGCGACGCGTGGCGGGCTACAGCCACTAAAGTATACAAATATTATAATATTTCTAGTTTTAACTTTTTGTTGTCAGTGTTTAAAGAGTTAGTTAAGAGAAGGATTTGGGCAAGAAAATAGTCTTAGCTATTATTTTTATTCTAAACTAGCTGAGACCCGCGGTATTACCCGCGTTTGTTGTTATAACAGCGGGCAACACCGCGGGGCGAAGCTAGTCTAAAAAAGTAGCCTAAGTTACTCCTTATGTCATCAGCTATCTGCCAGTGAAAGTCCCGTCGAAATCGGTCCAGCCGTTCCAGAGATTACCCGGAACAAACAGACAGACCGGCAGACAGACAGACAAAAATTGTAAAAAATGTTATTTTGGCATATGTACCGTGTAAACATACATATGCATTTAGTAAAAAGCAGTTATTTTAATATTACAAACAGACACTCCAATTTTATTTATTTGTATGTGCATACATACATATGGATTTCAAATATACACATAATTTTTAAACACAGTTGAAATCTTAGTCCTCTCTGCGAGCCCTTTTTTCCAAACTAGGTTGGGTCGTCTTTAAGTCTACTAGGACACGGCTTAACTTCGATTATTTTCATACTTAATTTGTAAATACATACATATTATACATAGAAAACACCCAAACTCCGAAACAAATATATGCAAATCGAATCGAACCCAAAACCTCGGTACAGCAGTCGCATACGCTACCACTGCACCACCGATGCAGGCGAGGTAATGCTATTGAAATCACACAATGAAAATTTAAATAGACAAATACAATAAAATATATGATAGAGTAGACGGCTGAAAATTGTTCAAAAATAATATTGGCCTTGTGTGTTGAAACTTCTCCGCGGTGATGCGCTGACCTCGTTGTTCGATAAATTGATTGCACCTTTAAATAAACACTTTCACGGTCACTGTTTGTGTTCAGGGATAACTAATACGTACCGAGGTTTAGTTTTAATAGTCTTAATTCTAAAGGTTTAGTTTTTTATATGAGGAACGCCTAAGAGTATTAAAGTTACCGACACTCACACATTCCAGGATGAGAGGTGATCTTATTACGACGAATAAAATATTAAGGTCAAGATATAACCTCAAGGATGTCAAAGATATGTTCCTGTTCTAACAAAAAGTATACTCATCACTCTCAATCGATCACATTCGCAATCACTGGTATCCTATCACACTTTGAACAACCGTGTTGTTACTATATATATATATATATGTGTATAATTATATATATTTTAAAGACAACTACCGCATTAGGAATATATCCTGTGTCACGGGGATTTTACAAACACACATGAACGGACACAAAGAACACCCAGACGCAGAACAACAATGTGTGAATCACACAAAGTGTCGTCCCATGTGGGGATCGGACCCACAACACTCAGCGTAGTAGTGAGCGGCGTAGTGCCCACTACGCCATCCGTGCAGTCAACCCATATGGAACAAGCTTCCAAAAATTGTAGGTACCACGAAATCAGAAAACAATTTTGAGTGTCAACTCGAAAAATATTTAGAATAATACCCACTGGATTGAACAATCGTTTAATATAAAATTTTACTCCAGTGCAGTGACGTGGACAAATCAGAAAATCTGATGCTCATCCATAACACAAAAAAAACCATTTCTGATCTAGTTACTTGTTAAGTGTGTCTCAGCACGGTACTAATTGTACCGTGGTCTCAGTAAGAGTGCACTTTCTAAATTTAAATTCATTTTTTTTTGTGCAACTGAAATTTGACAGCTGTCACCTATGTTTCTTCATGCATTGTTTATTCCAATTATTAAAAAAGGAGCGCGAAAGAACAACGCGTTATAATTGTGAAAACTCATTACAAAAATCTGGAAAGTCACGCTGAAACCGCTCGCATAATTCGCCAAATTTTCAGGCGATAAAATTGCACCTAATGTGTGAAGAGTGTTAAAAAAATTTGAAGAAACTGGGTCGATTATGGATATTAAGAATCCTTTGCGTCAACGTACCAGTCGATCTGTTGAAAACATTGCTGCGTAAACGAGTGTCACATAAACCCTGAAAAAATCAATTCGGCATCGTTCTCAACAACTTTCAGGAAGCACGAATTTTGACTAAATACCTCCACCTTCATGCGCACAAGATTCAGCTAACTCAGGATCTCAAACCAGTAGACCATGGAAAGCGCCGGCAATTCGTTCAATGGGTAATGGAGCAAAGTGAAGTCGATGCCAATTTTTAAAAAAAAAACATCTTCTCCGATGAAGCGTCTTTCCATCTGAATGGCTACTAATGAATACACAAAATTAACGAATTTAGGGCTTAGAAAATCCTCATGAAATCCATAAGAAGCAAATGCACCCACAACGAGCAAATATCTGGTGCGAATTTTGGTCAGGCGGTGTGATTGGGCCTTACGTTTTTGAAGATGAGGCCGAAATTGCAGTGACTGTGAATGGCACTCGTTACAGGAATATGATAACATAGTTCTTGTGGCCTCAACTGGCATGGATCTGGACAGCATGTGGTTTCAGCAGGACGGCGCCACTTGCCACACCGCGCATGAAACAATCGACTTATTGCAGCAACGATTGCTAAAACACATTATCTCACGAAATTCTGTCAATGTCAACTGGCCACCAAGATCGTGCGATATAACGCCGTGCGATTTTTGCCTTTGGGTGTTTTGGGAAATCTTGGGTTTATACGAATACACCAGAATAATTTATGTGTTCACATCTCGGTATATAAGTCATGGAAAATTTCATGAAAAGAGTAATGTCCTGTCATCAGAGATGTGGGGGCCATTTGCCGGATATTTTATTCCATACTTAATGGAAACATGTCTTCTTTACAATCCAATGAAAAATATCACAACTCTTTCATAAAATACGTGTTTTTATTTTAAAATGAAAAAGTGCACTCTTACTGAGACGTCCTTTACAAATGTTAGTGAATGAACGTTACTATTTTTAGTTGTTTTTGACGCAATGAGATTCTGATAGACCTATACGTACTCGTACCTAAACCTACGTCAAAAATATATATTGGTATATAACACTGGATGCCATTAAATGTCAAAGATTTAAAAATGGAAACATCACACGACGTCAAAATTCCAATAAAAATGTGAGGACAAAATTGAATAGCTCCAACCAGGCCATAAAAATAGCAGTGATGTAGTTACTACTACTACAAGAAAAGAAAGCGCTCCTTGTGAATATGAGGGATATAAACATGAACATGAATTTGAATTTATACCATTCGGACAATATGGAGGTAAAAGAAAAGAGGTCGTCGGACGCGTCGTTGCTGGTGATGAACCCTGTGGCCAGCGGCGATAATGTGACTACGGGACTAAACTCCACTCACAAACTGAAGGAGGAACTGCCAGCGCTTGTGCCGTGTTGCGAAGGGAGAGAATTACAGGTAAGCAATGATTCAAAAAAATAATAAGTAGGTACCATGTTGTGAATAAGAGATATATTTGAATATTTCGTGTTAATGACAAATACTTAAAACACCTAAACTATTGATAGATAAACGAGGACCTGGTTCGTAGCGGACTCTCGGCAATCTCTGTAAAACATGACAGCGTGATACAATGTCTGAGCATGTCACGCGCTTGCGAGAAGATGCAAGTACCACCTGGTCTAGTTAAGGTAAGGTACTATTCGCTGCACAAACAGTAGTAGGTAATAGCATTATGTTAAGGTCAGTTGCAACACAACACACCACAGTGCTGTTTATACCTCTAGTCTTAGTAGTTCGGTTGTTTTGTTCGGGACGGGACTATTAATGTCTCATTAGTTCGGTTATGACGTCAAACTGATACCAGTTAAATAGTTTGGTTAATGATGTAAAAACACAAAATTGTAAAAAAGTTTTAATACCTATCATAGCAAGAAAGTTTCTGCTTATGTATTGGAGTGAAATCATTTTCGAAAAGGAGGAATATAGATGTCGATCGGAATAATGTTTAATACAAAATTGTAAGTTGCAGCTCTTAACAAAACAAATTTCTCCAGAAATAAATTTATAATAAATCGCTTTGTGTATTGCATCCTCAAATCCGCAAAAAAGGACCCATTTATGTTTTAAAACATAAAAAAAATATTGTTTTTTATCAAGAAAATGTACCTATTTGTATTTTAAAACAAGGAAAATGTTTGTGTTCTCCGGGCTGTAGAATTATAAACGTGGAAATTAATTAATAATTACTCTCCTAACTTCAGAGAATATGTTTGATTCATTTATTTAGGTATAATAAAAAGCATTTTATATTTTAAATCCCTGACCACACTACTGGTATATTTTTTAGTATCCACAGTTTGGTTTGAGGTCATTACTGAACTAATGAGACAAAATTAGTCTCAGACATGGGACAAAATCACAGTAAACTGTGGTTTTTCATTAGATTTCTGCGTACGTAGGTTAGGGTTGCTAGGTAAGGTAGGCTAGACGCAATTTAACAGTAAATCTAGTATTTTTTTATTATTATGAACTATAATTAAATAATTACTAGATTCACTGCTAAGTAGGCGAAATAGGGTTTTTATGCATCAATTGAATACAGCTTATTGGCTACAACGCGTGAGTAAGTAGTAACCTTAACCTTCGTACGAAAAAATCGAATGATAAGCCTCACCTGTCTTTCACAGTTCACTGTGATTTTGTCCCAAGGGTAGTCTCAGTAGTCTGTGCCGAACAAAACAGCCGAACTACAGATGAATGACTACTAATTATAGATTATAGAATGATTTTAGTACTTTGTGCTTCTAGAATGTTCAATACTCGAAATTGTTGACTCATCATAGAAAAAATTCAAAGTTTTCATTGTTTACTGCTACAACTAGTGTTGCCAACATATGTTACAAAAGGGTATGGTCAAAGTTGGAATAGCTTGAATAAAAAATGGATTCCGCAACGAAAAAGAAATGCTTTAGCAGAGTAGGCTGTATGTAATTTTTTTTTTATTGTAGCATAGAAACTCTTTCCGGAGTCTACACAGGCCCGACCTGAAGCGTGTTCCGTACCTGCGTCGCATGACACCCGACGAACTTGAGACATTATTCCGTGGTTACGCCGACCTGCCGGGAAGAGGTATCCTGAAGACCGGTAAAGTGTTTTCTTATTAATCCCTTGTGTTCTCTGTAGATAGTAGATACTAGTCAGAACCAGGATAGTTTTGGGTGATAATTGATTAGTCCCTACCAACCAAGTATCCAAACACTTCTTAGGGGTGGCCGAATTGGCCTAATCATGGAGTTTCAGATACTGCCCGCACTTGGTTAAAAACACTCGGTGGATACAGCATTACTTTAGATAATAAATTATAGGTGATATCTGTACTCCACAAATATCTTACATTTTGTAGTAAACCGTTTGCGGCAAACATCTTTAGATAACATTGGTAAAATCGAAATGCTAAATGTTGACCCGACTTAAATTTCGGTAAAAGAAACTATTAATGCAACTAAAACAGACCTTTGACCGAATTTTTGTTGCAGACCATCGAGAAGAAATAATGAAAGTTCTACTACCGCCCGACGAAAATAGTCGCGGAAAAGAACGATTAGCAAAAATCGAAACTTGCAATCAAGAAGGTCTGTTGGTGTCTGATATACTTACCTTTTAATTATAATGATAGGTAGTGATTTTGTTAAATGCTCTTATCTCTCTACTACCAGTTCTCAAGGCCAATAGGGAATATGCATGTTTTTTTTTATTTTTTTTAACGATTCTACTAGCTATTACATTACCAAAAATAAATATAACACATCCGAAATATAAACCGTTAAGCAAATTTTTTTTATTAAAATCACTATCATTTTGGGGCAATTTGAACAAGTCCATTTTGGCGCGCTTTTTTTGTGACGTCAGATTACACTTTCAGACGAATTCGATGTCAACAACGGAGTGAAGTTCACAAAGTTTCTGAAAGTTAAAAAAGTGAGGGATAAAAATTAACTTATTACCATGGAAAGCCAATAAAAACTTATAATAAATATTGTGCCGTCCCTTTGTGCCCAAATAATATCAAAACTGCACCTGACAAAGTATATTCAGTCATTGTGTTGAGTCTTTCTACACGGAAATTTAATAATTTAACACTGAAAACGTATTAGTTTTTAACTTAAAATGAAACAAATAATCACCAGAAACCAAATATTACAAATACACACACAACTTGTTGACACTCTTACAGTGTAGGTTGACGTCACGTTTTATTCAACCAATAGCGTTGCGTTTTAGAAATTTGCGAGGGAATCTTAAAAAAGCCAATGTTTGATGATTAAATTTCACTATTAAATTACAATAAATTTCAAAAATAATTGTATGGGTATCTTTTTAGCAATAAAAATTACAAATAAAAATATTTTGTCCATTTTGGTGCCACGTGCATATTCCCTATTCTCGTAATAAAATTTCGGCCAAAACTCGGTTCTGATCAACCGTCGATCTCGCAACTGTCATAAAATGTATTTTCAACTTTTTCTATCAACTTTCTAGTTGATAGAAAAATGAAAAACTCCAATAAAATGTACGCATCTTCAATGCGACTAAGTTATGATGCTATTACTGTATAGATGGCATATACTTAGATTATTTATATGTCTAGATAGAGCATCGCGCTGCAAATAATTAGAAGAAATGAGCCTACTTTTCGATAATAGTGTGCGTATATAAAAATATACTAGATGTTGAAAATTTCCTTTAAAATAGGGCAAAATTATAAGAGTGGAATATTTTTTTTAACTATAAACATATATTAAAAGAAAAAACAACTAATTGTTTTTGACCCATAGTCAAAAACAATTAAATGAACCTAAACGTCTCACAAGTGATATTGATTTTTTTTTCACACGTCACCGTATTCATAAAATATGTGTGAAAAAAATATTTAAGCAGTATTTGTACTTTGAAAGCTAGATTGACTGATAGAATAACTATTCTATCAGTCATCTAGCTTTAACTTTTTTTTAAATTCTTTCATATTATACACAGAAAACATCCAAATTCTGAAACAAATATTTGCAGATCCTACAAATATTTTGTTTTGGTCGTGGTGCACGGCAGTTGCATACGCTACCACTGCACTGAATTTTACTCCTACCAAAAATAAAAAAGAGAATTCACTTTACAAATTATACTCATTTAAAATCCATCTAATTGAAGAGGAGGTACCGATTGACAGTTCTGACAGATTGAAGAATAGGGAGTGGTTCAAAGAAATAGATTACCACAATAACCGATTCTTACGATTGACTGACAATGCATCTGATACTAAACGCGGGCAAATCATTTAGAGATCAATAGTTAGACGCTATTTTTTTCTCCGCGTTCACAACTGACTATCTATTTAGACAAATAAAAGATCCAAGGACAGAAATTTGAAATGTTATGACCGTAATGGGGCGTATCAAAAGGACGTATTATAAGCATATATCATAAGTAAGCTGCAGATATTATTGATTGTAGGTAATACCATCTCCCTTCACCCAATCCTAGAGACTCGCTCAGGAGCAGAAGACGTCCCGGCGGGCATGCGGCTGCACGGCACACGTGCGAGGCTCTACACGTCGGTGCTAGCGGGCGCTAAGGCCGGGGACCAATTAGAGTGAGATATTACTGCAATTATTATGTTGTACCACGTCCACCAATTTACTATAATACGTAGTTTAAAAATTATACAATAATTAATGATATAACACAAAACAAACTTTTAGTAGATACTTAACTGCTTTTCTAGTAGTTTGTATGAACACTGGACCCTGACTGACCTAGAGGGTTAGTTTCGTTTACTGACGCTATTTTTGCGTTTGTCTTTATTATGCGAATGTTTTGATATACAGTCACCGGATAGTGACATTTTTATGACTTATCTATACTTCCATATTATAAATATGAAAGCGAGTTTTTTTGTTACTTTTTCACACCTAAACCACTGAACCGATTTATGAAAATTCTTTCACCAATGGAAAGTTACATTATCAGCGAATAATCAATCCTACTTTTTGCTATTACCGTTGTATCATTACAAATACATATGGAACTATATTAATCACTGATTTTAGGGCTGTTATTTTTTAAATTTATGAATACGTTTTTTTCTGTTCTACTTATTAATATATTAATAGGTACTGTAATGAACTTATTACAAAGCTGTTGCCAGCCAACTATAGAAATTCTATATTTTCCAGCGGCATTTCAACGAACGATGATTACGACACTCGCGTTCTAGACGTTTCAGTGCCAGATGAAGAAGTTCAACTAAACGAGGAATTGCAGATCATCCTCCCCCCCAGGTACGACGACGTAACGGCAGACTCTTCTAATACTACTACGACAACTGAACACAGCACACGTTAATAAATGCCGCCACCACCGTTTTTTTTTTTAATATTTTAAATAAATAATAAATAATTAATGAAGTTTCAAAGCAAATATGGCGTTGGAACAAAATCGCGCCGTAAAGTGGCGAAACTAATACGTAGAAACCTTGGCAGACTGTTCATGTACCTGGACTGGTTATTCAACGACATTCTTAACAGATGACACATTTTGAAATAAACGTTCAATGCAATATTTACAATGTGAATCGTGTTTTCTTTCGTATCTTAATGCCTAGTCTTAATACGGTGAGATAGTTCCCATCACCATCGCTAGACGGTTTTCAAGACTGCGTAAAATATACAGTGTGTGTGTGTGTGTGTGCATGATTGTGCTGATCTGTCGTGGTGCTCCAGATATATTCGGATATTTCATCTCCGGATATTTTGTCGAATAAAGCCTTTCATCCACATTTGTAACCAGGTCCAAACATGTTTTTTTTTTATCGCTTAATAACTAGCTAACAGAAAAAAATTAAATCTGTTTTGTAACTGGCTTTCATAAATAGCTACCAAAATGTAATGGATAATTCAGAGATTGTTGATTTGACTATGTAGTCAAATCAACAATCTCTGAATATATCATTTAATTAATTTTTCATGAGAATTCAATTTCACACCCAGAAACATCTCAAAAACTATCTAATTAACGTCAACCTAAAACGTGATTACACCTTTATTTCATTATGGGTTTAAAAAAATACACACACACATAGTTATGCACAAATGGAACAATTTAGTTGTGGAAGCCTTGTGAATAAAACTATAGGTTTAAGGGTGAATTTATATTGAATTTATCTTTCTACAATATTTTACATTAGGTTTAATAGTTACCAACGCCTTCCCGCGTGATGAACCCAGAGGTATCAATAATATAAATTATACGAATTTACATCTCTGTGCAAAATATTTGCTAAAAAATTTAATTGCACTTTAGTTCAAAAGGAAAATTGTTTATCCAAACTTATGTAAATCAGTTCTAAATTTGACAAAACATGACTTATTTGTCAAGAGTATTATCTACCAACGAACTCACTCGAACATTCTAGAAAATAATCATACATTAATTTCTATGAAATATATTTATATCACAAGGTGTAGATTGAGTTTCAACAGAAAAATAACAGCTTAACTGGCATTTTACCCACTAAACACAATTACTCGGAACTCAAAGAAAATGTTATTAACAAATATAAACTCTATTGGTGGCTACAGACCTAGAATGGATAGGCTTAATGTGGCTTAAGCTGTTTGGGTATTATATGAAGTGCATAATCAAATTGCAATGATAAGTATTGTCTAATCCTCCCGCAACCTTCAAGCCTTAAGCTACATATAACAGCTATTTAACGACATTGCAGTATAATATACTATTTTATCTAGACAAATTATCAAAAAAAGAAACTGTTGCCCAGAGGCTAGTGATCATTTCAATGAGTTTTATATTTAAAAAAAACATTCGGTCTCGGTCACGTAGTTTTTTAGAACACTGTATATAATAACTTATCGCGCATGAGAGTTCTATGCTAATTCGTTGGATTGAAAATGATACCCAATCATTAATTTAATACATTTCCTATAGTTTATCTAATAAATAGGAATATGACATGTTTTTGTGTTGATGTTTAATCATCAATAGTGCTAGGCATCTAATCAGCCTTGTTAAGCGAATCACCCTTTAGGCAAAAGCCGTCATGCAAATCGAAGCTTTCAAATCATAAATTGGCTAGGATATCTCATTTCAAGGTCCATTAAAGAGCCGTATTTACAAATCAGATGGTCCCGGGACTAACTACTGGGTGCGATGATGACTTTGCCGTGATGTTGGCAAATAATTTATACTGTATATTTAAGTTGCTTTTGGAAGACTTAGCTTGCACCTGTAAAATGACGGTAACTACCAATTAATTTACAGTCTGTCGGTTTGGATTCTTACGGTTTTAATCCATGTAAACCAATGAATAACTTAAGTTTAAAAATTCCAGGGAGGTGAACTGACAGACTGGTAAGAGATAGGCCTCGGTCCATACGTAGGAATACCATGGAGACTTGGCATATCGAATAAATTAGAATCTCACTTGTAAATAACAACAATCGAGTCTCACTGTAAACATATTAATTGATAATATTGTAAAAACCTACAGCTTCCTTAGTCTTGCCATTTTATGTTTAAATACATTATAAATTAAAGGCAACAACTTCAGGTAAAGCAATCATCCACCGCAACTGCCAACAAATAACATCGAAAGCAATAATACAATATTCGCGTACACACAGCGATTTTTTGTCTTTGATTGTCTTGGGCGTATATAAATCAACATTCAAACAGGCGATTGTAATAAAAATACTCTTCAATATGTACATACATTGCTTTTAATATGTACATTGTTGTGTGAGGTAGCTTTACTGTTGCTGGAATGAAAAAGTAACAATTATGAAATTAAATCAATCTTAGAAAGCATGGTACTTAGTTATTAGAATGTACATTAAAATCGTTTACTCCAATTTCTGTCTTATTTTGTGTGCTGCAGAGTATAGATTATGTTTTATGTTACTCAAATTTACAAAACTGAATACAATTATTACAAAAATAGCTGTGTTGTTTTGTAAATTATCAAACAGATACCTTCTATTGTGTTCTGTCGCTCTCTCCTCTATTATGTGAAGGAATGAATGAAAAGAATGTTAAATATTCTGAACTTTACTCAATGACATTCATTGTAACCCAGAAATAAGGCACAAATTGATGTAAACACTTCTAGGATAGAAATAATGTCAAAGGTATGCTAATGTCAAAAGTAATATGCATAAAGAATTTTATAATTACAAAAAGAAGTCAAAATATTAGTACAAAATGGTATGATCACAACAGCCTAGCTACACCACACAATGACCTACGCAGCGTGCATAGCTATCACTTAAATATCCATAAACAATACTGCGACCATTGATACACAGTCTCAACCACAATAATGCATTAGAAACTTTATTCTACCTTACTATACAAAGGAGGTAAACATTAAACTAAATAAAAAAAAATCATTTTACTTTATGTAATAATCTTTAAATAACATAAAAAAATAATCGAATATCGTTACAACAAAACTTTCCTAACCTTTTTTATTTAAATATGGAATAATTGATTGTGACAAGCGTTCGCTTGTTTGCTAACTAACGTAGTGGTCACTGTACAGTCTTGCACCCACTGCGACGTTTATGGCTATTACCATACATAATCAACACTGGTATTCACAATGACGTTGCTGGTTCCGGCACACGGGCGCTTACTTAAATTAAATGGCATCGACATCCTCACCTGAAATGACAAAATAAAATTATTAATACATTTGCTAGCAAAAAAGATAATTTTGAAATTGGAATAAAAGGATTGAGGATTATTTATTTATGTAGTCTTTGCAACACGATATTGGAGTTGCAGGTGGTTACGAGTCCGAGGGGAATTCCGCATGGAAAAAAAAAAAAAGGTGGTTACGAGTGTTTATAAGCAGTGAAAGTAGTCGCCTATCATAAAGACAGTTAGCACCTTTTTTATAATCTTCGGTATATAAATACTAACCGATAGTGGAATTTGGCTTCTGTGACTAGCAAAAAATTTTGCTGATAGCACAGATTCACAAAGAGCTACTTAGTTTGCTGACTGTACATTGCTGGCTGAATTAATATTTTAAAGAAGTTAGATTTAGGAAGTTTCGTGTCCTCTAAAGCTCAAAGGGAATGGTGGGAAATGTGATGCCTCCGTGCGTACATACCGTGGCGCGGTGCGGCGGCGTGACGCCGCCTACTCTGCAGCTCATAACTTGTGGTTGCTAGTGAGCCACGTGAGCCCCTCGTACAGTCCGTCGCCCGACGTCGCACACGACGGCTGGACGTACCAGTTGCGGTCGCGGATACGCGTCAAGCCTAACTTCTCCTGTATCTCATGTGGTTTCATTGCTAAAACAAAAGATATAAATTGTGTACATAAAAACTAGTAAGTCTGTTAGTTATTAGAGAGAACTTCTGCACTAGGAAAGTACATATTCCTGTAGAGCGAGATGATTTTACAAAATGTGCCCACAATCCACTACAAAATGTGCTAATAGACTCAGTAATATGGCAATGATTAACAAAAAAAACCATATTTTTTTTAGGTAGATGACCGCTTTTCATTTTAATTTTCAAATGTCATGCTGAGCTGAACTCCAATAGAATTTCTGAAGGATATTTTGCATATATGTAGCTCATTAAATTAAGGAAATAAGTGTCACTGACCCTATGCACAACCGTTAGGTTTTCAATTTTAAAGAAACTGTGGTTTAATGAAGACGTGTCCCTTCGTCATCGTCATTTAGCCACACTGGAGCACTAATTACTATAGACAATCGTACCGTATTATTCGTTAAGTATTTGGGTTGAAATGTTCACACGAGTAACTGCAATTTACCAATGTGAGAGTCTAATGAGGGTCAAATGCTTTTATATATAAGTAGGTATGCACCATAGGTCCGTCACTAATTAAGCACATGGTGAGCTTTAACCTACATTGTTCGAAACAATTATTTATTAACGTTTGTGAGTGGTATTTATATTTATTGAAGATATACATGCGCCTGACACCATCACGAAACTCTTTATTCCCTGATAAAAATCGACTGTAGAGTTTAAGACTATAGTCGGTTCGTGTTAAGATAATAGTGACAATCGATCGAGCCCCGAACTCTGACCAATTAGGTTACAAGCTAGCGTACGAAACGATAATTTCTTGAAACCGCGAATGGACTTGGATGGGCCATCCTAGAATGTTTGGCGTCGTATATCTATATAAATATGATAACCACTCACGAAAGTTTTAATTTCAGAACTAAGTATATTCAACAAGAGTTCATTTTAAAATAAAAAAAGAATCGCAATTTCAGATATAATTTTACATACGTAGTATTATATCCCAAAAACAAAACGCAAACGTCGCAAAAAGTCTCCTTCTCAAAATGACTATTTCACAGGCAAGCGACATTATACGAAATAGAAAGAGGTAGACATTTTGCAAACAAAGACTAAGCGTTACTTTCTAGAACATACCGTCGGGCAAGTCCTGTTTATTGGCGAAGATGAGTATGATGGCATCGCGCATCTCCCTGTCGTTGATGATTCTGTGTAGCTCCTGGCGAGCTTCGTCGATGCGGTCGCGGTCTGCGCAGTCCACCACGAATATTAACCCTTGAGTGCCTGAAACATTTAACATAGATTGTTAATACTTAACTATAATTGTCAAATATTGCGCAAACAAATTTATTCATACAATAATAGAAACTGCAGTTTGTATGCCTCGCCTATTTACACTACATGCTATTAAAGCCTTAACGGACGCAATTTTCTAATACCATAGATGTAAAGAATATTACGTGCCTGGCTGCAACTCTATACTGTAAGCCTTTAAGAAAGCAATGGCATCAAAGTCATTCCAAAATGTAAGATACTGTAGACATCTGTGAAAGGAACTAATATTCATACCGAGATTTTGGACAACTTTTGGGATAACCGCTGGCATTACAGTGACATCTCTTTTTTGCACCGATAGTGCATATCGGTTTTAGCTATAGTCATGGCCTATTGTACAAATCGGTGTAATAGGCTAGGAGCAACGGGTCATCTAAGTTTGTAATGTATATATGTATTTTTAAACCACTAATCTGTAAGTAGGTTACGATACTTTAATATTACAATTTACGAATAGCGCTGCTGAAAATTCGGTTTGAATTGACCTTAGTCAATTTAAACAGAATTTTCAGAAGTGCAAACTAAATAACATGCAAAGATCATAATTTAAAAAAATAAGAACACGCACCTGTATAGTAATGCCTCCAAAGTGGTCGTATTTTGTCCTGCCCCCCAACATCCCACACGTTGAATTTGACGTTCTTATACGTAACAGTTTCCACGTTGAAACCGACCGTAGGTATCGTTGTGACTGACTGTCCTAATTTTAATTTATATAAAATAGCTGGCGAATTATTTATAAGGAAAGATTATTGACATGACATAGTTACCTATTCGTATATTCTTTAGCTTAAACGTACAGTACATCACAGGATTATTAGATCTGTTAATACACTCTACATTGATTGATAGCAGTGTAAAGATGTAAGCTAATCCTTCTGTAAAGTATACAATAGTACTTACTAGCAAACAGGAATGCAGTGTAAACAGACACATAATGGAACTCAGTGCTTAATAACATAGTTCTGGACAAATATAACATCACGAAACAAAGAAAATCTTTTTTTTTCTCTTCTATTGTACCGGTCCCATGCTTGTGAACTATTACTCAACTCAAAATGAATACGTATCAGAATTCGATCTTAAACTTTTCATCAATTTCTGTGCGCGCGTAATTTGTAACATAATCAGCACTCGTTTACAAGTATAATTTCTTTACTACTTGTAACCATATATGGGCTTTAAACGACTGGATTTCTAATCCGGAGAAAGTACTTTCAAATCCCCTGTAAGTAATCCTATTCATACTTATTTTAAGAATATAAAGTATGCTTGCTTCAGAATAATGGGAACGTATTTGAATAATGTTCTATCTTTATAAATATTTCATGAAAAAATAAAACAGACGGGAGTTACTAAACTACTAGTACATTTAGTACTAACAACATGAGTATTCTGCAAGATCTGATTGTTATCAGACACCTTCCTTAAGTTGCTAGTAAATAGTTTTTATGCCAAATAACTTTTATATTTACTAACTTTTATATTTACTTCTACAGTTTGGCCAACGTACTGCAATTATAGTACTAAGTGGATTAAGGTTGGCCTTTTCCGCCACGTATGTGAGTACCCTCTGACACAAAAAATAAAAGGGGTTACAGTACGGCACAAAGGGGAATAATTAAAAGTGATCCGGTGTAGCGGTGAATTGAAATGTACGTACACGAGCTATTTGGCACCCATGTCATATTATACTTTACTGAGTTAATTTCTGAAATGTTATAAGTAGAATATTTCTACAAAGGATACTAGTCTTTCCGGCAGCATCGAGCCCCAACATCAATATCCTCATCTCCTTATTACCGAAGATTTTTGACAGCAACTTCCCCATGGTGCTGAACTCTCCTCAACCGCACAGCTGAAATGATAAGAGAAAAAAAAATTATATATTTGTGAGTACAAAGAAATAAGTTACGTATGTAGTAATTAAAGTCATGTAGATGGTAAAGTGGCCAGGGGCGACAAAGTGACTATGGTATACACCACTCGGTCCTATTACACTCATCATGCTGCTAATTGGTCGGTGGCTATGTTATTTGTCAAGTTCCACGTTATATTTAAAACAGCATAAATAAAAAAAAACAAAGACGTTCAATCGATCCTATGAAATCCTTATTTTCCGATTTTTATTTAGAAGTTATATATTGTAAACTCTATTCTAACAACCCGTACCCATAACATTCGGACCCGTAACACAGGTATCCCTATACCTACTCGTATTTCGGGCACCAATCTTTAAGGAATGTTTTGTTCTACTTAAAAAAAATCCCATTGAGTGATACTAGTGTTTACGCATTTCTGACGAGAAAACAAATAAATCATTACTATTATAAATCAAAGACTGTCTTTGATTTATAAAAGTAATGATTTACTTTCGTTGGAAACCAATGAAATTGATACAAATTCCACTAATGAATACATTGAAGAGTAGGTACAATTTATTTTTTATTCTTTGAGGTCGCTCTATATTTTTTCCGCATGAGATCAATCAAAGTCCCGGTGTCGAATGAGATATTGAAGCGCAATTTCTGTTTACAATCTTTACAGGAACTAAAAAAGTAGGAGATCTTAAGTACACATAGCTGAATTGTTGTGGCTTGTTGTTAAGTCTGATTATTGTTTTCAGAAAGTCCATTCATAATTCAATTACCGGTGATTAAGAAAACCATGTTCGATCGCTAATTGCAGTACAGATTATGTCATCATCTTGCTTTTATCATCATCATCGGAGTTTGTGTGTTTTCTATGTATAATATGTATGTGTTCTATGTGAGAAAAAAGTATATAAGTATTCTATTAGTCAATCTAGCTTTCATAGTACAAGCTTTGCTTAGTTTAAAACTAGGTGGCGTTGTGTGTCAGATGTCCGAAATATTTTTATATTATTATTATATATCATCACATCAACAGCCTTTAATAGTCCACTGCTGGGCATAGGACTCTCATTAGATACAAGGTTTTAGCCTACTTTACCACGGTGCCCAGACGGGTTGGTATAGCGTTTGTTTCAAGTTTTCTTTCTCCTTTCCGTAGTTTGCTCCTTTAGTCGGCTCTTACGACACCCTTGGGATGTAAAGGAGTGGTGATCTGTATTCTTAATCCGTCGCCACACGGAAATAAACTTAATTACTGGTTCAAAGACAGATATTGTTAAGTTTCCGATCAACGAAATTCACCAACGATTGTGTGAAATATATCACACTGCGATATGATTACTACTGCAAGGCTCAAAGGCGCCATAAAAAGCGGAAAATAATGTTTTAATTTCTCCTTTTAATGGACTGGGAGGAGCATTCAATTATTTATATTCTACCAAAAACTAAGTAAATAAGTAACAGATTTTATCTTGAAGTGTCATTTTTTTACGGAACGAGCAGATGTCATACCGTCGCCCATGAGTTCAGGAGTCACAAGCGCGTTGCCGGTCTTTGAACGAACATGAACATCAATGGTGGAAAAACATTATTTTAGTTTTATTTCTTCCCTAGCGGGTTCAAATTACAATTATCCAATCCTAAATTATTTCTTAATTCAATTATAAGACATCGAATTGAGAACCTCATCCTTTTGATCAAGTGCAAATATTTATAATAAATGTTAAGTTCTAAATCTCGCTCTGCACCGACTAAGGGCTTACCCACCATAATATTACAAGTAATCATAACATTACAAATATTTTGCCATAATTGCCGAGAGTAAAAAAGGGTACTTATTTTATTTTGTTTTGTTCCGCTACTAGAACGTTAACCGAAGCAGCTATTTCATATACCATAGTAGAAATACGGTCCATTCTCCGGCTAAGTTTAATGTAATGTAATTTTAAGTTTAGGTTTGCTTTTTGAGGTCTAATATACCGCTGATCAACTAAGTTGGATTTTCTCTTGTTGTTGATATAAATTGTTAAGAAATTTAATTAATGCTACGAATTACCTTTTCAAACTTACTTGTTGACCTTTCACCACGACATTATCTTAAACAATTACTGTTTGTTCATTGGAAAATGAACAATTAGTTTCCGTCAGTGCGAGTATAATATACCTATAGTAGAATTATTTTCTCCGTGCAGTTTGGGTCATAAATAGTCGGAGCGGTGAAGCGAGTATTTCGTTCTCTCTTCCACTCACGAGCCTTATGGGCGGGCATAGTGATGCGCATTATTGTTGTCGATAAGCGTTATCGATAGTGTATTTAGTTTTGTCATTTTGTGGGTTAGTGACAAAAATTAAAGAAAAAAATAGATAAAACAACGTATTTATTAAAAAAGAATAATAATAATATAAAAATAAACTTTTTACACTCTTTTTTAATTTTGTCGACCGTTCTAACACTCACACCACATATCGCCGCAGCAAGTTCACGAGAACGGCAGAAATTAAGACTTTGTAACTTTTGGGGATCTATTTTCATTTCAGTGAAAAATTTTAAAACATTGTTGATAACAACACGTGCTTGTGCTGGTATATTGGTACCAACAGGCAAAATATTATTTTTAATAAATTCTGCCGTTTTGGTACAAAACAAAGGAGTAGCCATTGTGTCACTAAAGAAATTCAGAGAGCGAATGCACAAAAACACATTTCTCTTCGACATATGTACTATAATTTGCAGTGGGGAACAACAAATGCCTCATAACATAACAATGTCTCACCACCTTTGTATACCGCCCCGTCGCCGTGTACCTGCCTTTGATGACTCATTTGTTCTTATCGATAATGGCGTTGCGCCCGCGCAACATGCTCACCGCCCTAGCCGAGCCGGGGCCGAGCTATGGTTTATGACCCAAACTGCACGGAGAAAATAATTCTACTATAAGGTTGTCTGGAAGACATCGCGTGGGCCGTGACTTATAAGACCACCAGTAACTTAAGATGAGATTTTTGCAGTAAAGAAGTATCTGGTGTTTAATTTACCTTCCTTTATATTTTGACTAAGCCTCGAGACCAATCTAAATCAAATACTTATGTGTAATTCGTGAAATGCTTGTTTCAAATTTATATTTTTATAAAAGAGGAGTCCAAGAAATCTTCTGCGTTCTTAGATAAGGGTTAGGTTTGAAATATATAAACAAAATAATCAAACTTTTGTGTATATGAACATATACAATACCTATTAAGCCCTCAATACACCCGTAATATTACTAAAATATCTACAGATATAATTTCAATATAATCATCAAAATAACGAGCCTATTTGGTTCTGCTGTCAATAATCATTATCTGAGATTATTACATTCAAACACTTGTGAATGAAGCGTAGGTATTGATTGCGATTTTCGAAATGTCTGTTTTGAAACTCGTGAAGAGCTTGAAAATGTAGATTTTGTAGAGATTTCTTGTAATTTTCAGAATGAAAAATTATTCTTACCTAGCAAACGTTATTTATTATAACTTGATTACGTGTATGCCTAAATTGTTATAGATTTTGTAAAAGAAACTAAAAGTAACCAACAATGATTCGCCATGTAGATTCACGATAAAGAATGGTGCCTGGTCGTAGAACATGTGATGGTCACGTGCTTGATTAGATACCTTTCATAGTGTACAAGATAGCTAAATAAATACTGCGCTGTGATTTAATAGTTACCTAAACGAAAAAACCTAACTACTAAACTAGACCTTTTACATTGTTATATTTTATTACCTTTATGAAACTTTAAATTTCTTTATCTAAATTAAATACTTAAGTAATTAATATTAATGAGTTACAAATATTATTAACATTTATAATGTGCTGTTTTACTAACTTCGAAACGATATCAAACTCTAAATCTTAGTCATATGTGTGTTAAAATAATGATTTGAATAAAAGCGCAATGCAAGTCCAAATATGACGTGTTATTCAGTTCTTAACGTCGTCTGTCGTTTCTAGATTACGCTTTCAGAGACCTCAAGTTTTAGTTTCGAGGGAATCCGCGGATATATACATGTTGTTCATTCAGCACATACTAGTGATATCATCACCTACCAATGATAAACTTAGCAAGATTGAACTCCACTAAAGACCTCTAAAATTCACAGGGAAATGTTAGGAATAAGATACCTTTTTTTAAAATTTATTGTAATTAACATGACGTATCACTGATATCATTGCTCTGTTTTTACATCCTGCATGTATGACATGTCCGTCCTATTTGTGTTTTAATGCATTCGACGTTATCATCAATCAACATAATAAATCGGCAACGCTATCGGAAAACGTCTATCATGCCGAACCCCTCGGTGGATGACGTCACGTCAGAAACCTGGGCCATGTTGTATTACAATTGGTAGAAATTTTTAGTCATCAAACCAAACTGCAGTTTGAAATATAATAAAATATGCCTGCGGTTTCAGGTATTTTGAAGGTAGTTTTTTTTTGTATTTTTACCATTTGTAATATACATTGAATAACCTTTATTTTACACTTTGATTTTTGATAGATAATTTTGTTTTAACCATGGGTTCTATTTGAGATCCCACGAAGTTTAGCTAAAGTCAATCTTTACATAGTATAAAATAAAGTCGCTTTTTTGTGTTGCACGCTTAGATCATTTAAACTAAGCTACTGATTTTAATGTGGTTTTTTACCAGAGATGGTGATTCAAGAGGAAGGTTTACATGTATAATACATGCATATTATAATAGAGAAAATCCGATAATTTCAAAGATTTGTAGTAAAAAACATGTTTAAGTGCACTTACATTGCAAACGGTGGCTAAACCTTACGAAATATGTCAAAATAATGTACTACGGAATTGTATATCTTAAAAAGATCTACAAAAAAGTCCGTGAGTAACCATTTTTATCTTTTGGG